TTAAGAGAGAAAATGTTATTTGCAAATTTTAGACGTTATTTTCTTTATGTTTTTTTCAATTATAATATAGTTCTTTTGATTATAATTTAGTATTGGTGAAATTGAAATTTAGGGGAATAACAGACAGATATGCCAGGGGTACCAACATTTTGAAAATAATTAAAAATATTGGCGGTAAATTCAAATGTCAAAACTGAAAATTTGTTTTTATTATTAGAATGTAAAAAAAATATATTATTTTTTACTTTATTGTAAATAAATTAGAACCTTTGATGCTTAATTTTATATGAAATTAGGTTTTTTTTTGCAAATATAGTTATTGTTAGTGTAAAAATAGAACTAACTGAAAACAATATTTAAAAAAAAAATAACATTTTTTGCGTGTCAAAAGGTGCCAACATCATAGAAATAAAAAAAAATTATTGGCGGGAGATTCAAATAGTAAATATTTTTTAAATTGAAAAGTAGAAGAAAATGAAGAAAAAAATAGAATCACTTCTGATTTTTACCATTGAAATTTTCAGAAATTAAATACTTACTATTTTTATAGAAATAAAAATTATTATATGAAAAGCATTGTATTGTTAATAAAAATTAAACGACGAGTGCAATTGGTAGAAATTTACAGCGGAATCTCATGTCAATTAGTCTCTCATTTTGGAAATAGAAGTTTTACATGATAATAACGGATCTAAATAATCAACGTTTATACGGTACGTATATAAACTTTTCAATGCAACAGAGCCCAACGTTAAAGATCCTTCTTTTATTTATTTCTTTTTTTTTTTAAATCTTACTTTAATTCTCACTTCGATTTCTAATGCCCATCTCCATTTGGAAATCTCGTATCTCTCTTTCTCTCTCTCTCGCTCGCTCGCTCTCATCTTTGACGTTCATTTTTAATCATCATACAAAGTGCATTTTTTGTCTCAAATTGAAATTCTATCCTTATCAGGAAAGTTGCGTGTACTCTGTTGAATACGAATATAAGTCTTTGGTCTCGGAAAAAATCTCTTATCTGGCTATCGAGCTAGCCGCATTCAAAAATTCTACATTAATTCATATATTAAAATGTATTGTTGCTAATTAACTAATTCATTAATATATTTATATAATATAGAAGCTGGTTGGACTCATCATTGTCGTTTTCGATAAAAGTAGTTTACATTCTTTTTTTTTGGCAGTTTATAATATTTACACACATAGTTTCTCGATTGTAAAAAAATCTGATAAAAATGGCATCAAAAAAAATAAATAAATTTTTCAAAATTTGTAATTTATTTTTTGAATTTTTATTTTTTTAATCCTAGACGGTACAAGTGGAGTACAAAAGTACCCAAGAGAAAATTCAAACTACGGCCCTGGTTCTGTTTTTGAATATATAGGGGAATAGTGTCAGGGTTGGACACAGTTTTGGTTTTTTGTTTATAAATATTTTGTTTAGATAAATTCAGTCAATTGTGGTATATCGGTGGAAAGATCTACAAAAGAGGAACACTTTTGCTGTGGACCGTAAATTGATTGGTCCAAAATTAAAAAAGTTATAAACATTAAAAAAAAAAAAATCTAGTCAGGGTTGGACACTTTTTGAAAATCGAAACGCATTAAGGCGCATTCAGACCTATCGGCTGCCTGCCTGCCTGCTGTAGTTACCATGGTAACATGATAAGAGTGAGTGAAGCAGAAAATTTAAATTTTTCGTCTGTTTCACTCACTCCCATTATGTTACCATGGCAACTGCAGCAGGCAGGCAGGCAGCCGAGAGGTATGAATGCGCCTTTATTGGTAAAAACGTAAAATAACATTTGTAATGTTTTTTATTCTTATTTTTTCATGTTTATCTTTACTTATTGTTTACAAATTGTAAAGCTTCATGGGTTTAAAAAAGGAATGAACTCAAATTACAAAAAATAACGCTTTATTGTTCCAAATAACTCAATGAAATGATGAACAAAATTTATACAATTTAAGTATTATTTTTCTAATATCTTTGGCACAATTTTGCACTGAAATATCAATAAAATAAAATTTATTTGTATATTTATTTATAAATTGTGTCAAATTCATAATTAATATGGGTGTCCAACCCTAATTGTATAAAGTGTCCAACCCTAACTAGAAGCATCATTTTCGAATTGTGCTAACCATAACCAGACATGTGTCGCGATTCGATTTTTCACATTTTTCTTCTTAAATTATATACCCCACAATACATTCAATAAGCTTACCTTGCCAAATTCTGTCTTTTTTACACATTTTTTAGGTTTATTCACAAGTCAAACAAAACTTTTTTTGTCTCTTTGATTGCACCGAAGTCACAGGAGACGCTACTTTTGATTCTCCAAAAATATAATGCTACAAAAAGTTAGGTTACACTACTAGAAAATTCGTCACGTACGCACACAGGTGGCGCTAGTGCTCTTATTTAAAAAAAGCCAAGTGTCCAACCCTGACATTATTCCCCTACCAATAAAAATACTCTTCTTTTGAAAAGTTACTCAAAACTATTTTTTTTTTAACCAAAAATTTGTATTTTCGGATTTTTATTGAAAAAAAATATTTTTTTAATGATATTGTTGCAAATTATTGTTGTTATTTTGCACATTTTAAACAAAACAAATCAACAGGAATTAATGATACACTATTTTTTTTATAAAAAATGACATTTTTTGCAAATTTTGTGTTTTGTTTTTTTTGGTATTTGTAATTTTTTGATCACATTTTTGATTGTATCAAAAAACAAAAAATGCTATATTCTTCTTTATCAAAAAAACGAAGAAAATGACTTATAATAAAAATTTTTTTGCGTTAAATATGAACATTCCAGCAACAAAACAATTTTGGGGTACTTTTCTACCCCAATTATACTTCAACGTATGAGCCAGCTATGTTGTACTATCTAGGATTTAATGTTTTTTTTATTTTATTTATTTAAACATACGGACAAAAGCAGTAAATTAAGAAGAAATTTTTTTTTAAAAATTAATCATTTTTTTATGTTTTTATTTTTAATTTTTTTTGAATTCTTCTAAAACTGTTTAAATTCTTCTAACATTTTTTAATACTTTTCAAAAATTATTTTCAGATGTTTTTTTCACTCTTTGAAAAATTTCTTATTTTTTTTGTTTGGAAATATTTTTATCACATTATTTTCACGAGAAAGAGCCATCATAATAATATTCTCATAAATGAAAATAATTATTTTGTTTTTGTGACACAAAAAAAAATTATTTCTTAAGAATAATAATAATAATAATAATAATAATAATAATAATAATAATAATAATAATAATAATAATAATAATAATAATAATAATAATAATAATAATTTTAAATATACGGAACGATTCGCAACGGTCTGAGCAAATTGTCGTTTAGCACAAAAATTCGTCGTGCTTATCGTACTTTCTTTCATTTGCGCATTATTTTTTTCACATTCATACAACTAATTCACAAACTTCGTCGTGTCTCTTTTTTATTTTGCAGTTTTGTTTTTCACATAAAAATTAAAAATAATAACTTTTATATTCACATGAAAGAGATAAACTAGAAAATACAAGTTTTGGTTTTTTTTTTTTTGGTAAAAATTAACTATCGTCTAATAAATAAGTAATTAATTAATAATAATTTATTAATTTCAATTAATAATAATTTTTTAAATTTATTATTAACAAAGCTGTGTATAAAAAAATTATGTTCCATTTCACTTTTTCACATGAATATTTATACGAATATTCCGCACAAAATTTATTAACAGTAATATTATAATATTATTGATACTTTTAAAAAGCTATACTCGCTCACTATATAAAAAAAATTTGTTTTAGTTTATTTACAAATTACATCTAAGTAGAAATTGATATTATTTAAAATTGATGAAAATTGTCGGCGAAATGGTGATTTTTAATTCACTGTAAATTAAATAATTAAAAACAATAAGAAATAATTGTTAATTAACACTAAAATAAAATTGTTGATATAAATTTAAAAATCTTGTTCATTTCATACAGAGAAAAATATATTTGTCTCAGAACAAAATAAATTTCTGATTCAAATAAAAGTATTATTTGATTGAAATAAAAATATTATTTGTGACAATTTTTATTTAAACGAAACAAAATATTTATTTGAAACAAATAAACTTAGTGTTCTAAAAATATATATTTTTATATTAATTCAAATAAATTATATTTGGTTTGAAAAAAAATTTTAAAAAAAATTCGTATCTCTATAAAAATTGTAATAAATCAATATTATAAATTCTAATATTAAATCTAAATTTTAATTATAATTATATTTGGAGTAAAAATATTAAATAAAAATAAAATGTAATTAAAATTCTGTGAATTTTAAATTTAATAAAAATGAGATTAATTTTCGATATATATTTTTGTATTGAGCGAGCGATATGTTAACTTTAAGTTTAATTTTTAATTACTTTGGGTTTAATTAAGCCTCCATTAAAATGAGAATTGAAATATTTCATTTTCTCATTATAAGATTATGATACATTTTTTTACTGTTTTTTTTTTTTTTTTGTGAAATATTTCATCAATAAATGAGTATCAATGATTCAAAAATTTTAATACTATCATTATTTGATTCAGTACAAATTTCTTTCATAAGAAATTTTTTAAATAATATTTGGAAAATTTTAATAAAAGTGCCATATATTTAACAATTGAATTTTTTTTCGAAAATAGTTATAAAAAATATAATAGCAATTTTTTTTTTGAAATGAAACATGAATTTTTGTTGATTTTTTTTCATCTTGTTCTTATATAAAAAACTGTTTTTAATTATTAAAAAATTGTTTAGAAAAACTCACTTATATAAAATTAATTAATATTGACTTTTCAGGACGATCAATTTTTCTTATTTTTATTTTTTTTTGATATAATATAAAAAATTTATTTGAATCGCATATTTTTTTGGCACTTAATTTTTATGGTATTTTGGTATTTGTATTTTCATTCTAATTTAAAATATTTAATAAAATTTGACTTTTTTAAAAATTGTTTGCCTTTAAATTTGTATTTTGAAATTTTTTTCTCCTAACTCATCGATATTTGAATATTTGGAAATTTTTTTACTTAAATTTTTTACTTTTAATCCTATTTTTTTTTTAAATTTAGTTAAATGTAAATTTTTGAAAACTTAAATTTAAATATTCAATGTGCAATAATATTTGTACCTATTTGGCAGCCAAGTGCTTTTTATGGAAGATCTTTGGGATAAAAAATGCTTAAAATTCGTTTAATAGAATTCTTTCGTTTTCTTTTTTTAGGGGGAAAACTATTATTTATCGATACAATTAAAAATTACGAGAGTCATCAGTAGATTCTTCAATGTTATCTGTACAGCAATTATTGTCACATTGTTTATAAAAAAAAAATCTTGTCTTCATTTGGTATTAATGAAATATTAAATATATGTATTAAGATTAAGTTGAGGATATTATAATTAATATTAAAATAAGAATTTCATAATTTATTATTTAATTAATATTTATAAAAATTTAATATTTAATTAATACTTATAAATATTTAATATTTAATTAATATTCATTGTAACATTTATTTAATATATAAATATTAAATAGTGTCATTAAAATATTAGTTTTGCATTCATTTTGATTGAATATGATAAAAGAAAATTATTTTACAGTTAAAACAAAAAATTGCTCTGCAATGTTTGCTTTAAAAAAAAAAAATAATAAAATGAATTTATTAATAAGAGTTGATGAAAAATCTGCTGACGACAAATATTTACAAAGTTGCAATTTAGCAACGATATATAGTTTTTCATTTGTTTTGTTTAATTATTATTATTATTAAGAGTATGAGACACGACGAAGGCATGGGGTTAATGTTTAGGACGACGTAGATTTATTGGAAAAAAATTTCTTTCTTTTTGTTTTTAAACGGCGATTGAATAATCAGAAGAGGGATTATTTTGAGTTCCCGGTCTCGACCATAGAGAACTTCTGAGACCTAATTTTAATTTTTTTAAAGAATCAATATCGCACTCGGCCTCGCTGAGTTCCGGTCGATCGACCCGGTCACTTCCTGGTGGATGAACACCCTGATTTGATTGATTTCCACCGAAAGTGGTTTCTGCAACGGATATTGGAGGCAGTAGTGTGCGTAGTGAACTCCTGCTGGGAACATGCCATCTTTACCAGATAGCACACAATTCATTTTCATTTAAATCAACAAAATTTTTATACAATTCCATAATTATAACCACTTGTCATGACATAAGTCATTCATGTCAAAAAATGATAATAAAATGGGTTCAAAAAATAAATAGATCATAGAAAGATTTAAATTTCAGAAAAAAATAAATCAAAAATATTTACAGAAATTGTAAAATATATAAAGTACCCGTGTGGAAAAGTGATGTGGGCCCCCAGCGGGGGCCCTTATGGATCGCCCTCATGCCATGAGGGCCGCATATGGATGATCCATAGGGGCCCCTCATGGAAACGACATGCTCATCGATGAGGGCGCCCGCATGGGCGATCCATGAGGGTGCCCCTACGGGCGCCCTTATGGGCCCTCACGTTTGCCCTCATCTTGCCCTCAAGTTTGCCATAATGTTTTTTAATCAATAATATTAATAATAAAAGTTAATTAATAATAAATAAGCTTAAGTTATGAATAAATAACATATTTATTTAATAATTATTCAATTTTAAATTAAATTCTTACTCAAATTCAATTTATTAATTAACGTTCTAATTAATTAACTGTCGGATATAATTAAAAGTAATAATAAATTAATTAATTAAAAAATTAAAAAATATTTAATTTATGCATACTATTAACGGATATTTTCATTTTTCAATTAATTCATACATAGAATTAATGATTAAACGCAAACCTGAGAAATAAATAAATCTAACGCATGGGGGGAATCGAACCTACGACCTACGGACTATGAGTCTAACGCTTTACCAACTACGCTACGTACGCTACTTCAAAACGAATGCTAACTTCTTGATGCTATTTAAACTTGAAAAATACCTAACAAAGAAAAGTGCTTAACATCATTTAGTTAAAGTTAAGATATTAAATTATATTTTCCAATCAAATGCAATTTATAAAATATAATTAATTATATGCTTTATGATTATTATCATGAATCATCTCAGGCGAATTTTCAAAAAAGTGTAAATATATTTTTATTAAAAACGCGTTTTTCGTTGTTTTAAATCATTGGAAACATTCATTTTTTGTTGATAAAAAAATATTTGATTTTTGGACTTAGAAAATTTTGCTAATCGATCATGAGGGCGATCCATGCGGGCCCCTACGGTGGCCCTCATCTATTTTGCCATAAGTGTGAGTGTTATTTTCAAAAAAGTGTAAATATATTTTTATTAAAAACGCGTTTTTCGTGGTTCTGAATCATTATAAACATTAATTTTTTGGTGATAAAAAAATATTTGATTTTTGGACTTAGAAAATTTTGCTAATCGATCATGAGGGCGATCCATGCGGGGCCCCTACGGTGCCCCTCATGGATTCGCCATATGGATCAGCCCTCATGGGCCCCCGCCGGGGGCCCCGAACTCTTGAGGGCAAGATCGTGGCTTTTTCCACACGGGTATGTAAAATTGTTTTAAAAATCATTAGTCAGAATTTAAATTTTAACGAATTTCATTTGTCATAATTAGTTTTGAGCCGAATTTTTATTTGTTCGATTTAATATTTTGCATAATTTTCATCAAAACGATTTTCTATATTACATAATTTTTATATAACCGAAAATTCACTTCACAGAATTTTTATTTATTCGAATTTTCATTTAACATATAATAGGCATTTTAAAGAATTTTTATTGGCTAGAATTTCATTGCATAGAATTTTCATTTGTTCGAATTATTATTTGATATAATTTCCATATAATCGATTTTTCATACTACAGAATTTTTACTTAAGCAAAAAATTATTAATAGAATTTCTAATTGATAGAATTTTCATTTGTCCGAAATTGCAAATGGCCGAACAAACAATCGATTTCGGCGTGATTTTTGTTTGTTCGGTCATTTGCAATTTCGAACAAATGAAAATTCTATTAATTAGAAATTCTATTAAATGATTTTTCGGTTAAGTAAAAATTCTATAGTATGAAAAATCGGTTATACGGAAATTATATCAAATAATAATTCAAACAAATGAAAATTCATCTGAAAGAATAAAATGAAAATTCTATGCAATGAAATTCTACACAATAAAAATTCTGTAAAATGCTTATTATGTTAAATGAAAATTGGAGCAAATAAAAATTCGAACAAATAAAAATTCCCCAATAAGACAAGTCATAAAATAATAATAACATGGTCATAATTATATAGAAAATAAAATATACTAATAGTTGAATTGAAACATACCAAAAACTGTTGTAAAAAGAGTTAAGGGGTTATATACCTTTTTATGGGTCAAAAAATCGCTTTTTTTTCATTGCATATGTGACGCTTGACGGTGAAAGGGATCTAACACGCGGCAAATTTTATAGGCCCATTTCTCTGTGAACATGCAGGGAGAAATGATCCTTATGTATTTGCCGCGTTAGGTCCCTTTCACCGTGAAGCGTCACATATGTATATCAAAAGTACATACTCTTCTCTCTTAATTTGAATCAGTGAAATTTCACTGATTTAAATTAAGAGAGTTGAGATTCCTAAATTTCCTTAAATTTCATCAAAATCGGAGCATTAAAACCAAAGTTATGGCTGTTTTAATCCGCTACTTCTCAAAGAAGAGTATATACACAGAAAATTAAAAGGCATTAAAATAAGCTGCAACCCTTATTATTTTAATCCAATTTCGCTTACTCTCTAAATTTGAATTAGCGACTATTCGCTTTGAATTAGTGACTATTCGCTTATTCTTAGCGCAGAGTATGCAGCTGGGAATAAGTGAATAATCACTCATTGAAAATTCGCTTATTACTTAGCGAATAGTCGCTGATTGCCAGCGAATAGACGCTATTTTAATCAGCCCAGAGTATGCAGCTACGAATAAGCGAATAGTCGCTGAGTATTTTAACGAGTATTTTAATACCAAAATGGATTAAAATAAGCAAAATTGGATTAAAATAATAATCGTTGCAGCTTATTTTAACGCCTTTTAATTTTCTGTGTACTTACGCTTGAAACTTTAAAAACTATTATCTCGAAATCGGTGATTTTTGAGAACTATGCTTACCGCTAAACTGATCGGGCTGAAATTTTCAGGAGAAATATGACTTTCGGGTTTTTTGATTCGGGAAAATTACCGGGAATCTTTATACATAAGATAGCTAGCGCGTGAACGAAGGAATTTAAATTTGAACAAAAATTAATATTTCTTTTGGTCAATAAATCAAATTTTAAAACCCTAAAATCATGATTTTTGAGGAAAAATCATCGCCATTTCTAGAAAAAAAAATCCTTCGTTCAGGCACGAGGTAATATAATATACTAACGAAACTTCCATTGTTTTTTTAATTTTAGTTAAACTCTGTCTGACTTATCGCGGTCACCGCAAGCAGCTATCAAAAAAAAAATAGTGCAAGGTCTACAGTTTCCTCAATTATTAATATTTTTTAATAAAATTTTTTATACAAGTACATAGAAATATGTACTATTCGATGAAATAAACTTCGTTTTAAAAAAAATTTTAAACAACGGCTAACAAATTTTTTGAAAATTCCTCTTTTTTGACGTGCATAAAGGTATATAAGCCCTTAATGAAACTATAGTCAAAGAGTAACAAAAGGTCATAAAAGTTTTAAAATTCAAAATTAAAAATAAAATGTGACAAAAATAGTTTTAAAAATTGTTAACACTCGTCATAAAATGTAAATCATATGCTTACACTTCAATGATTCATAAAAAAGTCATAAAATTAAATTATTAAAAGACATAAAATACCAACAAAAAAAAGCATAAATTATTAATAATATGATTATAAATTAGTGGGTCAAAAAATAACTCGTCGATTGAGGGCAGAAACACGCCAATTCAGGCGAATGTTGAGAAACATGACAATCTAAAAAATATTAGGGAAACCTGCCATTCCAGTGAAGATTTCAAAAACATGCCATTTCAGATGTCAAATTTTTGTTGATTGTTTTAGGTTGGTAACACTTTCTTGAGAATGTTATATTATAGTTAACAAAATTTTATTTTTGAAATCAATATTAAAAATTAAGAAAATTATAATTATTAATAATAAAATTATTAAAGGTTCTACCCCCTACTGAAAATTCTCATATAGGATCTTATATAGGTTCTCACATAAATTCATATATTAAAATCCACATAAAATCCTATGTGTCATGTAAGAAACTATATAGGATCCTATGAAAAATCATATAGGAAATTGAGACATGATTTGAAGTAGGATTCGATGTAAATTCTTATAAACGTATTCTTAGGTAATAAATTATGTAAATTCCTATGTGAAATCCTACAATTTTTTTTGGTCACATTTTTTTCTTCAATTTCTTATGTCAATTTCCTTCGTGTTTTCTCACTAAAAAACATACCAAAATTCATTGCTCAATCCTTCACCAGATATTTTCCTATATCAAATCATACATCAAATCTTTTTTCGATTCTTGAATAAAAAATTATTACAAATAATCAGACATGAAATCATATTGAAAATTCTCACGTGAGATCATATATATGATTGATTTGAACATAAGAAATCATATAGGATTTCATGTAGATTCTGAAATATTTATATTTAAGATTTCACATAGAATTATATAAAGGAAACAATATAGGATTTCATATAGGAATTTTCAGTAATTCATCTGAAAATAAAAGAAATTGTGCTTTGCAATACACCTTCTGAGTTAGTCTCAGCTTTTATAGTATTCAAGACTGATCTCAATTGTGAGAAAAAAAATTAGCACCATCTGGCGGCGTAAGAGTGGAACTATGATGATATACATTTTTATTCGAATTTCCCATATAATTTCCTATATAATTTCCGACTTGGTATCTTACATGGACAATTAAAACAATGAAATCCACACATGACATCCCACATAAATTCCTATGTGATGAATTCTTACATGAAATCCTATATAGGATTTTATCTAGGATCCTATACAAGATCCTACGTATGAACTCATATGGATTCCTATATAGGATCTCATATAAGAATTCATCATACAGAAATATATATATATAAAAATCCACGTAAAATCTTATGTAGGATTATGTATAAAATCTTATATAGGATCCTATACAGGATTTTAGATTGTCATGTTTCTCAACATTCACCTGAATTGACGTCTTTCTGCCCTCAATCGACGAACTAATAGAGTTTAAATATGCCAAAAATAGTTATAAAATGTGTAAAAATAAGTTATAAAATAACAATAACATAGTTACTCATAAAAACATATAAAAAAAAGTCATATAATCGTCATTTAAGGGGAGCGCCTACTTTAGAAGGTCAAAAAATGTGTAAATTTCAGGAATTTTTTTTTCTCGAAACACATTGAGAGTATGAAATAAATAATATTGAAAAAATAATTTAAATAAATTGATTTTTCTAGTGGACTGCAAAGGGGTTAATAATCGTATAATGAAATGTAACACAGTCATAAATAACTATTTTGTAGTTAAAAATTTAAAAAAATTTAAAACAATAATAAATTGTAAATATAAACTTGCAAATTGTTACAAAAATATTCTTTTTAAATCGTCAATTTTTAAATAATTAATATTGTTCTAAATAAAAATATGTTAATTCTTAACTATCACAATTCCGTCTTCGAACGTAAATGGCACAATGGGTCTGCTGGACCCGATGTATCCGAACTTGTATTGTAGAGTCGGTATTAAATATTTTTGTATAAAAATTTAATCAGAAATAGCTTATGATGTGTTTTTTTTAATATAATTAGTTTTACAGTGATTAATTTATTTTAAGTTAGTTAAAAAAAATTGTAAACAATAAACACGAAAAATTGCCTGTTTTTACTTAAGGGGAGACACCACCCCCAATTTTGACCCACTTAAATTTAAATTATTAAATGAGGTTATATTTTTTTTCTTGCATCATTTGGGTCCTAAGAACATAAAAATTTGACGATGAAAAATAATGAAAATTGTGAAAGAAGATACATATTTAAAATATTAATTTTTTAAAGACTTTAATTCCTAAAATGGTCATAAATTAAAATTTCATTTTTTGGACCATCCTGTATGTTTTTAAGACCCAAATGATGCAAGAAAAAAAATAGAACCTCGTTTAATAATGTAAATTAAAGTGGGTCAAAATTGGGGGTAATGACTTCCCTTAAAAAATCATGAGTTATTAAAATTTTAATATTATTACGTATTACTACGTTTAATATTATTACGAGTATTATTTTTTAAGGAAAAAATTACCTCAACAGCAGGACTTGCAAAAAAGGTATTTATTTTGCAAAATAAAATGTGACTTTTTAGATTAAAATTAAAAATTTATAATTATTAATGTTTAAAGCTAATTTATTCTTTTGTATCGAATTAGTTGTATCAAAAAACTTAGAAAATTACTAAGAATGTGTCAAACTAATATATTAAAATATAAAAAATATTCAAAAGCTATACTATACATTCAATTAATTTGAGTTCGAAAAAATGCTCGGGTCTACTGGACCCATGGTGCCAGTTAAGGGTTAAATATAAAATATAATTTATAATAAATAAAACTGTAATTACCTAGATCGTCCTCTCCGTGGTAGCGACTTCTGCTCTGACATGGGTGAAATATCTGACGAAGTGCTCGAAGTACCATGATATATAAAATCTGAAACTGCTCGAACTAAAAGAAAAAATGAAAAAAGATTTTAAATATTGCACCAATTGCAATAATAAATTTTATGAAAATTTAAATTAGAAAATTGTTTTTCTTTTTAAAGAAATATAAAAATTAAAAAAAATTTAATTAAACATTTAATAAAATACCTTTTCATATTACATCGTCCGACAAAATTCAACTTTTTTTTTGACCTACAAAAAAATCCAACATTTTTGGAAACTAGAACCCAAAAAAAATACTTGTGTCCGGTGTCTGACCGCTTTGCTATATCAAGTCATTTGTGGTTTTTAGGGGTGAAACAGCCCCTAAATAAAAAGTGACAAGATATCTTTTAAAAATTATTAATATTTTATAAAACTTGGCATCTGGGGGTTTTCGGTGTCGCTGATTATTAATCTGATGTCAGATTTTCAAAATTCAAAATGGCGGATTCATTATGGCGGTCAAAATTTTAGAGAGTTATTATATTTTTTTTAAACCTTGATATCTAGGAGTTTTTTGGGTCGCTGATGACGAATCTGATGTTAAATTGTCAAAATTCAAAATGGCGGATATAAAATAGAAAATTAATAACTTTTTAAAAATTTGATCGCCATATTGGATCCGCCATTTTGAATTTTGAAAGTCTGACATCAGATTAATAATCAGTGACCCCGAAAACCCCCAGATACCAAATTTTATAAAATATTAATAATTTTTAAAAGATATCTTGTCACTTTTCATTTAGGGGTTGTTTTCACCTCTAAAAACCACAAACAACTTGATCTAGCAAAAAACGGCCAGATACGGGAATTTTTTTTTGGGTCCTAGTTTCCGAAAATGTTAAATTTTTTTGTGGGTCAAAAATTGTGTCGGAGGGTGTTATGTGAGAATGTAAAAAAATTTGAAATTGAAAAAAATGTTATTTAAATTTTATGAATTTTTGTGCCAACAGTTAAAAAAATAAATAACGATAAAATGTTCGTCTTCAAAATTTGAAGAATAAAAAAAAATTTTTTAAATATGATATTGAGAAGACGTACTGTGTTTCAATTTGCCTGCATCCAGTTGATTCGATGATTCCGTTCTGGAACTTGTTAGTTGATCAGGGTCAGACTCGCTCTCGTCGGTCTCGACGTCCCCCGGAGTGTGTTGTTTCCTCTGTTGACGTCGACGGGACGACACGCTCTTCATTGTCTACAAGTTAATTAATTTTTTTTTTAACCTATATTTTATTGACATTTAATTAATTTTTTTATTTTAAATATCTTTAAAATTTATTAATTTATTTTCTATTTTCGTGTATCTATAAAAATATTAAACTTCAAAATGTAAAACAAAATTTGAAAAAAATTCTCATACTTTACATTTTTTATTACATATATATATGTATATGATTGAATTTTAATGTGTTGGAAATTTTTCTTTATTGAATTTCTAAACTCTCAAATTTCTATTTGTTTCAAAAATATTGAAAATTTTCATTTTATCAAATTTCAATTTAATCAAATATTTCTGTAAGTTCCAATTTCGCATAAATGTGCGAATTTCTTTAGATTCAATTCAAAAAGATTCAAAAAATTTATTATTTCTAAGAAAAACGTACAAAAAATTGAGAAAATTTTTTTTATTCATTTATTTAAATTAAAATGTTTAAATTTGGTTTAAATCAACTTTAAAATCACAATTAAATTCAAAAATTCTTATTTCCTCAAATTCTGAACAAATCTGTGAGAATTGATTTTTTCATTTCTATTTTATAAATTTTTAATGTTAATGTAAACTGAACAAAAATTCTTATTTTTTTAACTTTTTCATTTATTTTGTCTTCAATTTTTTTTATACATAATATTTCATACAGTTAGTATCTAGAGGCAGGCAAGTGGAAAAAAAAGTTTTTACAATTAAAAATGGTTATAAACAAATTATGTAACAATTGCAGTTTAAGGCTGTTTATGATCAAATACAAAAATTTTTGTTATATAAAATTTGCTTTTAATTTTTGTGATAGAACCTTTTTTTTATTAAAAAGTTGTTTTTCGACAAATTTTTCTATTTTTTAAAACAATTTTTATAAACAAATACATAGTAACGAAATTTTTGGTAAGAAACTAACGGAATTTTTAATCTGTTCAGAATTTATTTCTTAGTTAAAGGAAACAAGAATTTTCGAATTTGATTCATTATTGTGGTCAAAAACTTAATTTGTATTAAAATATTTAAATTAAAATATTAAATTTTCCAAAAGAAAAATAAGAAGAGATAAGAACAATAGAGTCCACTGGAAGTCGCTAGTCATAATAAACCAATTATGACACCCTATTGTATTAATTGTCCTTCTATACCTGAATATTGAAATAATATAGTAATATTACTTGAGTTTATATCGTTACTTCTTGCCACCGTCAGATGGCAGAAGCATACAGAGAGAACAAAGTCGTAGCTATTAAAAAAAAACTTTTTTCAAAAATAAACTAAAGAATTATCAATTGAATAAAAGATTTTAAATAAAATATCTATTATTTTTTTTCAAATTAAAAATAAAATATCTAAATATTCTTTAAAAAAATTTTCATTTTTAAAAAATATTTAAAGAACAGTTTTGAATCAATTTATACTATTAATTTATTCACAATACAAATCAATGGTCTAAAGAAGTAAATTTATTAGATCTTCTATCATTTAGCTATTTAAATTTTTTTAATTTAATTATTTTTTTGAGTAAATTTGATTTAGATCTTTGCGTGTAAATTTCCTTTTCATTAATCAATTGTTTTGAAATAAATTTTTTTATATTTTGTAAACAATTTATATAAACAAATATATTGTACCACAATTTTTGGTCAGAAATTAATTGAATTTTTAATCTGTTCAGAATTTATTTCTTAGTTAAAGGAAACAAGAATTTTCGAATTTGGTTCATTATTGTGGTCAAAAACTTATTTTGTATTAAAGTATTTAAATTAAAATATTAAATTTTCCAAAAGAAAAATAAGAAGAGATAAGAACAATAGAGTCGACTGGAAGTCTAGTCATAATAAACCGTTTATGACACCCTATTGTATTATTTGTCCTTCTATACCTGAATATTGAAATTATTATAGTAATATTACTTGAAGTATTTATGTTTCGTTACGTCTTGTCGCCGTCAGATGGCAGAAGAATGCAAGAAGCACAAAGTCGCAGCTATTTAAAAAAACATTTTTCGAAAATATAACTAAAGAATTATCAACTGAATAAAAGATTTTAAATAAAATATAGTTATATTATTATTTTTATAATTTTTCAAATTAAAAATAAAATATCCCAAAAGTCTTAAAAAAATTTCACTTTTTTTCATTTTTAAAAAGTATTTAAAGAACATTTTTAAATCAGTTTATACTGTTAATTTATTTACAATACAAATCAATGGTCTAAAAAAGTAAATTTATTAGATCTTCTATCATTTAGCTATTTAAATTTTGTTAATTTAATTATTTTTCTGTGTAAATTTGCTTTAGATTTTTGCGTGTAAATTTTTTTTTTCATTAATCAAATGTTTTGAAATAAATTTTTTTGTATTTTGTAAACAATTTACATATATAAACAAATAATCTGTTCAGAATTTATTTCTTAGTTAAAGGAAACAAGAATTTTTGAATTTGATTCATTATTGTGGTCAAAAACTTAATTTGTATTAAAATATTTAAATTAAAATATTAAATTTTCCAAAAGAAAAATAAGAAGAGATAAGAACAATAGAGTTCACTGGAAGTCGCTAGTCATAATAAACCATTTATGACACCCTATTGTATTAGTTGTCCTTCTATACCTGAATATTGAAATTGAATAAAAATATTACTTGAAGTACATATTTGTTTATGTTTCGTTACGTCCTGCCGCCGACAGATGGCAGAATCATGCAGGGAGCACAAAGTCGCAGCTATTTAAAAAAAACTTTTTTCGAAAATAAATTAAAGTATTGAAGCCACCAAAATATTATTCTTGTGAAAAAAATTATTTTAACTAGGTTTTATTTTTATAAACAAATTTAATAACTTAATTAAAAATTTTGGTCAAAAATTAAATTGTGCTTGTATAGTTTTTTAAGTACTCATCACGCCGTTTGATACAGAACAGTGTATTTGCTTATATAAATTATTTAAAAGATAAAATTTATGGAAAAACAATTTGTTTATATAAGAAAGTTCAATTGCAATAATTAAAAGTAAATTTATTTTTAAAAAAATTTATTTGACCACAAATAGCCCTAAACTGCATTTGTTTATAATAATTTTTAAGTGTAAAATTTTTTTTTATTTCTTGCCTGCTACCCCTAGACACTAAGAAAATGCAATGTCAACTACAAAAAAATTTGAAAGCGAAATAGAGTAAAAACTTTAAAAAATAATAATTTTTTAATATTTTGCATTAACATTAAAAAGGACCCCGCACTTTTTATATAGAAATTGTCTTTCATTCAATTTTTCTGAAACTCGGCAGTTTTGTAGTTTAAGGCCTCCTGAACAAAAAATGTTAATGACAAAATTCAAAATAATGTTTCTTAAATTACAATACTGCAGAGTTTTAGAAAAATTGACTGAAATTTAATTTCTATTCAAAAAGTGCGGGGTCCTTTATTAAACAAAAATTAAAAAATCGATTCTCACAGATCTGTTCAGAATTTAGTTCTGAGTTAAAGGGAATAAGAATTTTTGAATTTGGTTTATAATTGTGGTCTAGGAGTTAATTTAAACCAAATTTTATCATTTTGTATCGCTGTGCGTCTAGTCGCCATCAGATGGCAACAGCAAGCAGGGAGCAGAAAGTTGCATCTGTCCTTATATTATATAATATAAAGATATATTATTTTTATATTTTATTATATATTTTTAAATCAGTAATCAATAATTTTCTATATCATATTTTATCAAAAATGAAAAAATTTTGTTAAAGAATTATGATTGGGAAATAAAAATTGAACAAAATGTTTTCTTTTTTTTTAAAAAAAAGAATTAAAATAAATATATTATTATAATATTATAATAACATAAATAAAGTCAATAGAATTAATTTTATTAACTTTATTTATGTTATTGCTAACATAAATTTTTTAAAAATTAACAAATTAACTTAGGTGCCAGTTTTAGTTTCATATTTTGTTGAAGGATTGTGATTATGAAATAAAAATAATTCCAAATTCTTTCTATTTTTCCAAAAAAAAACAAAGAATTTTGTTAAAAATTTCATCATTTTTCATCAATTAAAATTATTAGTTTCCCTTAAACCGAACCACATTGAATTTTTACTAAATCCTGAAAAAATTGGGCGAAATTTCGTTTTACACAATTCGTTAGGGCTCATTTAGAAAATAAATAAAAAATGAATTTTTTTTACCGTCGCAGCTGGGGGAGGACTCGCGCACCCCTCCGTCATAGCGTGTTCGTGATACATGAAGCTGTGAAGAAGAGTGTTGTTGGAATGTAGACCTCCCCCGGAGGCTTCCGCGCCGACAAGACTTCCCAGACCTCCCAGGCCTCCCGCGCCACCCTCCGACAGCTGGAACGTAGCGTACGGCGAGATGTCCTCCGCTGTCTCTGTAACCCACGAGAGGCATTGCCTACCTTTCAAATCTCGTCAAATCTCCTTGACCACTTACCGTATAATATTCCATTTACACACTAATGTTCCAATCGATTTCTAACAACCCAAAAAAAAAAAAAAAACAGAAATAAAAAAGATTTCTAGAGTCACGTATTTATTAGTCCCTCAAATTTTACTTTCCCTAATTTTATTCCTTATGAAAATTTATAAAAGAAAATTGCCAATAGGCCTTTTGTTTCCTAACATTTTCTTGCGACGATAGAAAAATGAATATTCCCCACATTAGTCTGAATTTTTTTTGCGTGTCGATGTAAAGATTACCGAATTTTTATTTAGAATTTTATAAATTAGACTTTATAATGATCCGAATTTTCATATGGGTCAGAATTCGTAAAATCAGCACAGAAAATAAAAAATATTTTTTTTAAAACGAAATATAGTAAAAACAGTTCTATTAGACCACAGAAATGTTTCTACACAGCGAAAAATAGTTATTTATGATACAAGTGCGTAAAGTGAGTGTGACGTTTGCAGCAAATCACACGAGTATAATCAGATTTACGCACGTGTATCATACAACATTTTTTGCAACACCCACCTCTAAAGTTAAGTACCTACTATGAAGAATTCCAACTCTCTATTAGAATAATTTCGATTGTATAGAATAAAAAAAATCAATTAAAGATCAGGAAAAATATCATTAACACAGTTTTCCTAAAAGTATCAAATTGAGACCAAAAATTGCATCAAATCTTTGCAACGTTTTGATGCACATAAGTTATATCAAAAAGAGATCATTTTGTGTATCATTTTTAGAAATGATACACGAAACGGTCTCATTTTTTGATGCAAAAAATTGAATCAATTTATATCAATCATGGCCGAATTGAATCGATTGAAAATTAAACGAATTTTTTTCAGATATTTTGGTAATAGTACAATTGCGGAGACCATTTCACTATTTAATTTAAAAATGAAAATAACAGAAAATCAAAGACAATGTGCAATTCGATAATTAAAAAGTGACAGCTTATAAACATAACCTAAAATGCATGAGAAAAAATTTGTCGATAAAATCAATATAGCCGAGCTTTTTAAAAGGTAGATGGCAGTTTTGCTTTTTATAAAAACGATTCAGAAAAAATTTAAAGAAAGAAAATAGATGAGTGCTGCCATCTACCTTCTAAAAAACTCAGCTATATTGATTTTATCGACAAATTTTTTCTCATGCATTTTAGGTTATGTTTATAAGCTGTCACTTTTTAATTATCGAATTGCACATTGTCTTTGATTTTCTGTTATTTTCATTTTCAAATTAAATAGTGAAATGGTCTCCGCAATTGTACTATTACCAAAATATCTGAAAAAAATTCGTTTAATTTTGAGTCGATTCAATTCGGCCATGATTGATATAAATTGATTAAATTTTTTGCATCAAAAAATGAGACTGTTTCGTGTATCATTTCTAAAAATGATACACAAAACGATCTCTTTTTGATATAACTTATGTGCATCAAAACGTTGCAATAGAAAAAGATACAACCAAGTTTACTGTGAAGCAGTAGTAGTATATAAATTTAAAAGTAAAGTTTTTTCTTTAATTTTGTGGTTTTGTATGGTCTAAAACAATCCTTATATTATGTGAGTAAAATTTCGGTGCGTAAAGTAAATTTCAGTGCGTAAAGTGAATCACTTTACACACCGTTTTAAAAAGAGCTTCTTTACACACACTTTTCGGTGTGTAAAATTTAACTTTAGAGGTTAGTTGTTCTGTTCTGCGCCTTTTCAAAATTTGAAAAAATCCTAAAATACTCTTAAAACTCTAAAGAATCGAAATCCGTTGAGAAAATTTATGTGCACTTATTATTTTAATAATAATGATAAAAATCGTGTTTCGCGGCATACAGCATTGTCGAGACGCTCAGGGCGCACTCACACCTTTTGGCTGCCTGCCTGCCTGCAGGAGTTGTCATGGCAACGTGTAGGAGTAACAGAGAGAGAAAATTCAAATTTGAATTTACTATCTCTGTTACTCCTTCACGTTGCCATGACAACTCCTGCAGGCAGGCAGGCAGCCAAAAGGTGTGAGTGCGCCCTCACCCGTATCTTTTGGCGCGCGCGTTTTCAATAAGTCTAATTGAATCTAATACTTTAATTTATTAAAACAAGTTGTAATTCAGATGTTCATTACATGAACATTTTGCTTCCTCTTTACGATCAGCAAAAATATTTGCTTCCTCATGGAAAAAGCATTAACATTGAAATAAACATACAAAAATAATATAATAATAATATAAACATTTGAGTACCTATAGATTTGAGTTAAATTTAAAGAATTAATGGAAGTTAAAACATCAAAAATTCACATTTTAGCTGAAATTTCTGAAAATTAAAGAAAAATAATATATAATTTTTAATTATTTACAATTATATCGGTTTGTTTCAATGCAAGGAACACAATTATTTTATATTTAAACTTGAATTTAAATAAATACAAAATTTTTCAGCTAAAATGGGAATTTTTTTTTAACTTTCATTAATTTATTAAATTTACCTCAAATGTATACTTTATATATACCAATCGATTTGTTTTCATGCAAGGAATACAATTATTTCATATATAAACTTCAATTTAAAAAATCACAAAATTTTATTGCCAAAATGTGAATTTTTGATTTTTTAACTTTCATTAATTCTTTAAATTTAAATTAAAACTATACTTTATATATACCAATTGATTTGTCTTGACGTAAGGAATACGATTTTATTATATATAGCCTTAAATTTTTCTATTTAAAAATTTTTTCGACGAAAAAAAATTTTTGGAAAAAAGACGATAAAAATTTTTTTTCTGGGTATTTTTTAAAATCCTATGGTCAGATTTGAGATATTAATATGATAAATGAGCCTACCAAATTTTATCTAAATCCATTAAAACCTGTTAGAGTTATCGTCTAAACAAAAAAGGGATCCACACACACACACATACGTATACATCCGGACAATTGATCAGGATCTCATATAACATGTTTCTATATAGAAAAAAATTTGTTTCCGACACTTTGAAAATTTTTATAAACGAAAGGACTACAAAGCTTCCTCTACGAGGAAGCAAAAGTAGTTTTTAACAGAACTAAAAATATATTTAAAATTTATTACACCCAAATTCGACAAACCCAATTTTACAAATTTTGGAAAAAAATTATTTTGAGGTAAAATTTGTTGTTAAATAATAATTAATAAACATTTTGTATTTTTTCTTAAAAGTTAGTGAACAATTGTAATTTTTATGCAATTCTTAAAAACAATAGCTCATTTTGCTCTTTAAAAGATTTTCAACAATTCTGTTTGTTGAATTTTATTAAAAATATTTTGTTCAAAACTTAATAAACAAATAAAATTTTTATTTTTTATATTTTTTAAACAAACCATTATTTAAAAAAAACACAAAATAAGAATTGAAGAGAATCATTAAAAAAAAATGAGCCATTGTTTATAAAAATTGGTTAAAAATTAGAAATAACTTTTAAGAAAAAAATACAAAATGTTTATTAATTATTATTTAACAACAAATTTTAACTCAAAATAATTTTTTTCTAAAATTGTACAATATTGCGGATCTGTCGAATTTGGATGTAATAAATTTTAAATATATTTTTAGTTCTGTTAAAAATTACTTTTTAGTTTTAGGTTATGTTAATGGGTTGCACTTACTTAAATCAAGTAAATAATAAGTTACATAATTAATTTTAAGGGAATAATTAAATGTATTAATTTAATTTTTCTAATTAATTAATTAATAACACAAGTCTGCAAAAAAAATATTTCCGTTGTCAGAGATCGGGAAGTCATTTCCCGTAGTTTTTGGTGCTCTGAATCTGAATCTGGCAACGAAAACCTTCCATCACGTTAGGATTTTGAGAAAAATGGTAACAGTTTGATTTATTGAAATTGGTCCATTCGTTTACGAGAAACAAGGATTTGTTTAAAAAATGACAAAAAAAAATCATTTTGCAATAACTTTTGTAAAAAAAAAAAAAATTTTCGCTTGGTAGAAACATTTCTGTGGTCTAATAGAACTTTTTTTTTTGTATATTTCGTTTTAAAAAAAATATTTTTTATTTTCTGTGCTGATTTCACGAATTCTGACCCATATCGAAAATATTTTATTTATCAAAATTTTGATTTAATAAAATTTCTCTTTAACTCAACTTTTTTTTTCTAATAAATCAAATTTTCAAAATGTAGAATTTGTTGGCTAATAATTGAATAAAGGCAAGAACCATTCACTAAATGAACATATCGAACTCGTTTTAATGATTCTTGAGAAATAAATGAAAAAAAAAAAAAAAAATGTCCAAGGCAGCTCAACAATTGTGTTTGATTTGAGCTTTACCTACAAAAACAATAATACCAAACCTGTCTTTCGTCCGTATCGTAACAAAGATTCACCTGGAATCTTCTCTGGACCTCCTGAGTTGGCCTGCTGAAGAGCCACCTTGTGGATAGTGGCATAATACCGTTCCCTCTGGGTTTCGGCGTTCTGTTGATTCTCCTGAGATTCCTTCATCGGCCTCTGTACTCGGTCCCCCGAATATCCTGTAAATTGAAAAATTTTTTATATATTTTTTTTTCCTTTCACGAAGGTTTTCTATTAATTGATAAAAAAAACTAGTAAAAATACTTATAACGTAAGTTATGAATGATTTTTGTTATTTTTTATGCTGCATTATTAAAAAAAATTTAGTTAATTTTTTCCTTAGCAATTTGAATAATGAAAATAATTAAAATTTGTTTCCATTTCCAAGATTAAAATTGATGAAAAAAAAAGAATTTAAATTAAGTTTAATGAGAATACAAATTTAGTATATATATATATGTGGAATTCAATGAAAGAGGGGAATTTAATTGAAATTAAAAAGTGTATATATGAAAAAGTGCTGAGAGATTTTTCCAATACCATTCAATCAAGTTCTACTTAAATACGAACGATGATGAAAGCAAACTAGAATTTAAAAAACTCACTGTTTTTCCAACGCAAAGCGAGAGTAACTGCAGCTGCAAAAAGTGCCACTGCAGCAATCGTCAATGGCAAAATAATTTTCACGTCTGCATAAAATGGTATTCCTGCAATAAAGCCACGTTTCGAGAGTTCTGGAGGAGGTGGCTCTGAAAATGTTCAATTATTATTATTTATCAATATAGTAATATTTCAAATTGATTTAGTAGTTTATTAATTAAATTTCATATATTTAATTAATTTTATTTAAGAAATAATTTCCAATTTTAATATCTCGTTTGATTTATTTTTTTTGTATTTATTCATCGTATTTTAATTCTTTTTTTCTTATTTTTATATTTGTAAATTTTTCTCTAATTTTTCTAATTTTTACAAAATTAAATTTAATAATTACAATTTAATTCTCTATTTCAAAATAATTAAAAAAAAAAATTAAATTTAAATAGGATAATTCTTTTTGAAAATTATATAATTTACAAAAGAACAGAAAATTCTTTTACCCTTAATTAGAAAATTTCGTATGAATAAAACGATAAAATGAGAGACATTTTTGTTTTAATAAAAGTTTACTCCAACGTTTCGAAATCTAAATGAATTCCTCTTCAGGAAGTCTATTAAAATTAAAATTAATTGTCAAACAAACACAATAAATAATAGAAATAAAATAAACTACAATAATAAATTAAATTTTAAATAATCTTATCAAATTAAAACAGATGTCAATTCATAGAGTTTATAGTCAATAGCAGTGTCAAATTAAATAAAAACAAAAATGAAATAAAAAAAAAATCCTAACGTTGAAGAGACATAGAATTTGAAGTTGGAATATAAAATTTTCAATAAATGAATTTACTATAAAATTAATTAAGTAAAATAAATTATTAATTTTAAATAATCGAAAAGGAAAATTATAATTTACGTACCAATTAAATGAATCCATTTTAAAAAACAAGTAATAAATAAACGTACATACAAACAATAAATAATTAAATAAATAAACACAATAATTGACTCCTTATAATAAATTTGTAAATTGAACAGAAAAAAAAACAAAAACAATTAATATGAGAAATAGAGAATAACGAGATGAGAAATTTACCATTTCAAAATGTTAGAAATAAAATTCAAAATTATTTCATATGACTTATCAAAATTTTTTAAATCTGTCTTTTTATTTAAACTATTTAAATTTCGATTACGAAACGTTTGAGTAAATTTTTATTAAAACAACAATGGACCGAATGTTATTGTTTTATTCACACAAAACCTTCTAATTACAGGCTTCGAACCATATAGTAAGAGACTAAGAAAAGTATGAAAAAGTATCAGTTTAAAAAAAAAGTATCAAAAAAGTGTCATCTTTAAAATAAATTAAAATTAGTATTCTAAGTTTGACATTAAAGTGTAAATATTTTTTTGTCTAAAAAAATTGAAAGAAAAATTCTGAGGAATAAAATTAACATTATTTTTCTCTTGATTATTAAAAAAAACTATCTATTGTTAAATTTCGATTAACTTTTTGTTTTTGGCACAACGGTAGAAGCGTATGATTATTCCACAAAAATGAATTTTCACATAAATTTTTATTTTACAAAATAGCATTTAATATATAATTTTTTTTTAAACGAATGTTTACTAAACGGAATTTTCAAAGTACTGAATTTTTATTTGATAGAAATTTTATTTTACAAAGTTTCTCTTTACCCAACTGTTTCCTGAAATGAGTTTTAATTTAACATATTTTTAATTTATTAGAATTTTCATTCAATAGAATTTTAAGTAATTTGAATTTTATAAATCTTAGAACTTGGAATCGGAAGCTTATATAAAATATTTAGTATTTTAAAACAATTTCAATTAAAAATATCCAAAAAGTCAATTATTTCTAAAAATCTTAACTCGAACTCTTCCAAAATTCAATTATTTTTAAAATTTGTATCAAATTCTTTGCTAAATTAATAATTTCAATCCAATTATTCAAAAATTCAATTAAATAAAACATTTTTTAATTAATAATTCTCTAAAATTCAATTATCTGTTTGAAACTTTGTTAATAATTTTCAGCAATTCTAATTTACAAAAATTTTAATTCCAAATCTTCTGAAATTCAATTATTATTATAAAATTTTGATTCAAATTTTTTATTAAAATAATTATTTCTAATAACTTTAATCAAGATCGAAGCATTTCAATTATTTAAAACATTTTTCAATTCAAAATACTCTAAAATTCAATTACTGTCTGAATTTCGGTTAAATTAGAATTATTTAAAAGAAAACAGTTGGGTAAAGAGAAATTTTGTAAAATAAAAATTCTGTTAAAAAAAAATTTGACAAATTAAAAATTTTATTGAATAAAAAGATATTTTAAAAAGAAATTATGTTACATGCTATTTTGAAAAATGAAAATTCGTGTAAAAAATAATTATATAAACCAGTAGTTCACGCGGCCAATAATAAATCATCAATTTGGCGAGCTCTTAGGAATCAAAAAATTTGCTATTTAAAATTCTTGAATTTTTATCATTTTTAAAATTGTTTTTTAAAAAAAAGTAGCATTTAGTGGCTTTTGGACAAAATTAGTAGTAAAAAAAGTAGCCTTGTTGAAAAAAAGTATCAAAAAAATAAAAAAGTGTGTCACTTCGAAGCTTTATATTTCTTTGTACAAAATATCTTTCATCAAAAATTATTAATTTCCCAAACTGAAAAAAATGTTAAGTTAAAAAAACAAACGTAAAAAATAAATTTTTTTAAAAATACTCTCATATTTGTAATGCTCTTAATTATAACTTGTATTTGTTTTTTCTGTTAAAATTTGTTTAGAATAAATAAAAATTAAGTATGAATATAGATAACTGATTGGAAATTTTTCGAGGATTTTGAATTTGGACTTAGTTTTTGTCTATATAACTGCGCATGCGCACAAAAAAGCAAATACTGTGAGGAAACCTTGAAAAAATTTGAATTAGCTCACTATTTTGCATAAAAATGGTTAAAAACTCAAAGTATGCAAATTTTAGGTATAACCATTTTAAAGTATAGCTTTTCAGCTATTTTTCATGAAAATTAGAGCCAAATCGAAATAGGTGTTTTTGAGTTATGAATTTAAAAAAAAAAAACAGTTTTTTTAATCTACTGCGCATGCGTTTAGAGATAGCTCAAAAATTCCAACGGCATTGGATTCTTTGTAAAATTTCCCATCGACTAGTACCTTTCCAATTTTTTTTTTTTTTTTTTTTACCAAAATTAACATTTTTTCGAACAGAAATGGATTTTTCAATCTTCATTTTGAAGGGGGGGGGGGGGGGGACGAATTCAACACAAATAAACTCTACACAAGAAAATACTGCACCGCTAACTGTACACGAGTCAATTCTCAATAAAATTAAATAAAAATATATTCTTCACAATTAAATACTACATCGAAAAACCCTACACAATAAACTATTTACTAGAAAATTAACTTCATAAACTCTACACAAATAAACTCAACACATTAAGATTTAGAATTAGAAAAATGAAAAAAAAAAAATTTTATAATTCTACACAAATAAATTTACTACATCAGTAAATTTTACACAGCTATAAAAAATAAAAAATTAAATTCGAAACAATTAAATTTTACACAGATGAAAATAATATTTTCTTTATTTCCGATTATTTATAAAATTCTACACAATTAAACTCAACATTTATAAATTCTACATAATAAAAATAATAATGTAATATTTATTTGTGTAGAAATATAAAAAAAATATTTTTATTTTTCTAATTCTAAATCTTAATGTGTTGAGTTTATTTGTGTAGAGTTTATGGAGATAATTTTCTAGTTAATAGTTTATTGTGTAGGGTTTTTCGATGTAGTATTTAATTGTGTAGAATATATTTTTATTTTATTTTATTGAGAATTGTGTAAAGTTTTCTCGTTTTGAATTTTATTATTTTCATTTAATATGTTAAATTTTGAATGTGTACAGTTTATTTATGTAGGATTAAAATATTTTTATTTGATGTGTAGAATTTATAAATGTTGAGTTTAATTGTGTAGAATTTTATAAATAATCGGAAATAAAGAAAATATTATTTTCATGTGTGTAAAATTTAATTGTTTCGAATTTAATTTTTTTGTTTTTAATAGCTGTGTAAAATTTACTGATGTAGTATATATTTGTGTAGAATTATAAAAATTTTTTTTTTCATTTTTCTAATTCTAAATCTTAATGTGTTGAGTTTATTTGTGTAGAGTTTATGAAAATAATTTTCTAGTTAATAGTTTATTGTGTAGGGTTTTTCGATGTAGTATTTAATTGTGAAGAATATATTTTTATTTAATTTTGTTGAGAATTGACTCATGTACAGTTAGCGGTGCAGCATTTTCTTGTGTAGAGTTTATTTGTGTTGAATTCGTACCGCCCCCATTTTGAAAGATGTCACTTTTCACGAAATTAACGACTGTGAGTGTTCTTTATGAGATAGGGACTTGAAACTTTGGCTAGTTGAGTATTTTTAGAGGTAGAATACACCTAAAAAATTTGAGCCAAATCGATAACTTGTCACCGACAACTGTTCGTTTTACCCGTGGAATTTCTCTATAATTTAGAAAAAAAAAAAAAAAAAAATGATATCCAAAGTTTTAATTAAAAATAATTCAGATTTTTAAGTGTTCGATTCGAGAATCACAAAAGTTAAAAATTTCGTGGATTTGCCCATTTATACTTATCGGACGTTAAACATTCATTTACGCTTTTTTTCTAGTATCCATTTGAAATGATCTAATTAATTTAATTTCTAGAATATAAATTGTATTACAAACCGCCTTCTTTCGTCAATGTGATAAATGTAAATTCGGCTTCATTGCTGCCGGCGACATTGTGAGCTTCGACTTTTAGCTGATAAACCGAACTTGGCGCAAGATTAGTGACAATAAATCGACGTTGCATCTTGACGCTGTTAGACACCAAAGTCCAATGAAATTCGTTGATTGGTCGATATTGTATAACGAAATAGAGAATTGGACATCCATTATCAGGCCAGACATGAAGACGAAGAGCAAGTGTTGTGGAATTTGGAGCTAGAAAAGCTGCCGATGGTGGAATTCCCGGTGGTTGTCCTTGTGTTCGTACTGATAGAATGGGCGAAGATGGACTATTTCCAATTTTATTGTGTGACGTTAAATAAAGATGATATGTGTTACCACACAAAAGTCCCTGTAAACAAGAATAATATTGTACATATAGAAAAAAAACATAAAATTTTTTTTTATAAAAAAATAATTAATAATTAATAATATAATATATATATATATATAATGTTTAATAATTTAAAATTAAGTGGATCAAAATTGAGAGTGGTGCCTCCTCGTAACAATTAATCTGTCGATATAGTTTTTATTAGTTAAAAACGTTTATCGACGGAAATCGAATCATTAAAAAAAAAAATTTTGTAAAAGTGATGTGACAGAAAATTTTTATTCTAGTATGCAAATTGTATAAACAAATAAATTTTGTAGGTTTTAAATTTTTTTCTTAAAAATTGATATTTCTTCTTTTAGAAAGTACAATTAATAATATTATTTTAATTATTTAAATGTTAATTAATTTTTTTTTCTAGAGGTCTGCATTTCCGTGGATAAACGTGCTTAAATAAATTATTCGTTGATTATATTATTTAATCTGAATGAAATAAAATTTACTTTCCATCTATTTAATGACCAAAAATAAACAAAATAATACATAAACACACTACGTATTTGTCATTTATTTTACTTGAATATTTTCGCGTTATTTTAGGAAAAAGAAAAACCTCAACTTTCGATCTAAAATAAAAATAATAAAAAAATATTTCTATTATAAAAATGAATATTTTACAAAAATTGTTTGCCTATTGCAATGCACATGGCTAATAAGAATATTAAACTAAAATTACGATTTGCTTTTGATACCACTCTTGGAAAATTAATCATGTTGGTACTTTGGTAGAAATCGTTAGATAGCCTCTGACAATTAATTTTCCGTAGCTTGACTTTGAAAATGTTATTTAATAATATTATTTTGTAAAATAATCTTTACTATTACTATTATTATTATTATTATTTGTGACGCTCCACGAGAAAAGGGACCTAACGTGCTTTTGACTTAAGGTTCATTCACTGTGTCATTGCACGGTAAAAGCGAACCTTAAGTCAAAAGCACGTTAGGTCCCTTTTCTCGTGGAGCGTCACATTTATTGATTTAAAAAATAAATCGTGTTGGTAGAAATTGTTAGATAGTCCCTAATAACTGGTTCTCCTTTCGTAAAGTAATTTTTAATTTCTTTTTACGATTAGATCTTTTTAATCTCAAAATTAAAACTAATAGTGTTGGTAGATTTTTCTCATACTGTGAGGCTGGCTACACCGAGAGCCCATCAGGAGGGTTAAATTTAATCCTCTGGCGTACTAAACAAGTGGACTAAATTTTGCGTCTGCGCAAAATATTTGTGTACATCTACGTCCATGGTTGCGATAGTGTCAGGTTAGAAAAGTTCCCTGGCTTTGCGGCGACCACGTGATCGCTTTTTCTAACCTAACTTTTCGCTATCGCAACCATGAACGCAGATGTAAACAAAATATTCTGCGCAGACGCAAAATTTAGCCCACTTGTTTAGGGCGCCAGAGGATTAAATTTAACCCCCCTGATTGGCTCTCGGTGTAGCCAGCCTCTGTGTCACGTAAAAGTTTCTCACATGGCCTTAAAATTTTTAAAATTTTAATTATATTCAAATTTTAAATAAACAAATATTTAAGCATAAAATTTAGTGTAGTAAAAATTACTAACTTTTAACTCATGACTTGTTGCTCTTCTTGATAGTTGCATTTCCTCCAAATTCCCATGAGTTGTGCGATAATGTAAAGAATACCCGGTAAGAGGTGCTCCTCCATTAAAACCAGGTTTCCAATGAAGTAAAATACTACTGGCAGTGGAACTCGTTACATAAAGAACTGGAGCACTTGGTGGAACTGTTAGAGAAAAAATATTTCATATACATTTTTTTCTCCTTTAGGAAGTAAAAACGCCTTTTTTTTATTTTAGGACACATTCAAAAATTAAGATATGTTGAATTAAGTTTTATTGACTCAATATAAACAAAAAAAAAAAAAAATTTGTTAATTAGTAAATAATAAATTATTAATGAAAAATTCATAATACCTTGAACAGTGACCACATAATGTAATCTGTCGCTACCCTGAGAATTTTCCACCTGACATGTATAATTTCCCGAATCTTGTGTTTGAAGACTCGAGAGAACAAGTTCTCCAGTTTGTAAAATTTGAATATTTCTTGATGTATCAGTGTGAATTTGTTCGGTGTTTCCTTTGAACCATTCTCTCGTTGGATCGCCAACAGCATTACACGTGAGTGTTGCCGACCCTCTCCAAGGTTTAATTACGTGACCACCAAAAGAAGTTATTCTCGCCGGAACACGATTCGTGGGAACTTGTGCAGCAACTTTAGAACTTTGACCCTCACCAACACGTGTACTTCCGGTTACCCAAAATTGATACTCAATGTGCTGTTGAAGACCTGTTGCCTCAAAATAAGTATTCGTTGCTGGCAATGTTCTCTTTCCATGATTCAATTCTTCTCGTCCATCAACAACCCTAAACAATGGATATTCATCTTTTTTTTACAAAAATTCTTAATTTATTGTTGTTATTATATTTTTTTTAATAAACGCCGTTTTTTCAATAATTGAAAGTAACAAAACATATTACTTTTTGTTTTTTTAATTAGAAATTAATAATTAAACAAATTTATTCATTTGTTAATTACTGAGAATTTAACTGGAATTTATAATAAAGGGAATATTGAAATTTATGGCAGAAATTGATATTAGTTTCAATGAAACTACAGTACTCACCGTGTGTATAGATTGTACTTTGTAATGATACCATTGGGTTCAAGGGGCGGTAGCCATGAGATGAAGAGGGCTTGCGGTGAACTAACAACCACTTTAATGTCCGCTGGACTACCTGGAACTATTAGTACAAATTATTATTAATTATTGTGGTAGAATTTAATCACGTCAGAATATTTCTAACAAGCAATTATTATTATTATTCATCTTATATCACATCGTTTAATTATACAATCATATATTATATGTAGAATATCACATAATTCTTTTTTTACAAGGGAATGTATCCATGAGTGGACCATCTCCATCAGTGGATCACCTTTTCGATTTTTATAAAATCAAAATACGAAATATTAAACTATTGATTTTAACTAATAAATAACACTGTAAAAACATTTTTAGTCTGATACCCAAGTAAATCGACGCATTTTTGAGTTTAATACAGCCGCACAAAACAATGGTGTTAAAAAATGTCGTAAAAGTTTTGTGACCATCTTTTCCGAAATTAAAAAAAAATATTTAATTTTTACTTTTGCAAAGTCAGTTTAAATATTTTTGTTATTTATATATTAATTTTTATCATACAAGAAGAATTTTTAATTATTTAAATGTTAGAAAATATTTTAATATGATATTTAAGATAGCTTACTAGTGGTAGGCAAGTAGTAAAAGAACTTAAAAATTGTTATAAATAAATTATATAAACAATTGCAGTTTAACGCTCTTTGTAGTCAAATAAAAATTTGTTTTTTAAATAAATTTTATTTTGATTATTACGACTGAACTTTTTTTTTTATTAAGAAGTTGTTCTTCGATAAATTTTCTTACTTCTTTAAATGAATTTCATAAACAAATACTCTATATGATCATTTCTAATTAGAAATTAATCGAATTTTTTACGATTAATGTTTATTTTTTTCCAATTAATTTTATCATTTATATAAAAAAATTGATAAAAGTTAATTTGTGTTAGAATATTAAATTAAAAAATTTAAATGAAAATATTGAATATTCCAAAAGAAAATTAAGGAGAGAAGGAGATATAAAAACAATAGAGTCGACTGAAAGTCTAGTCATAATAAACCATTTATGACACCCTATTGTATTAATTGTCCTTCTATACCTGAATATTGAAATTATTATAGTAAAACATTACTTGAAGTATTTGTTTATGTTTCGTTACGTCTTGTCGCCGTCAGATGGCAGAAGAATGCAGGGAGCACAAAGTCGCAGCTATTTAAAAAAACATTTTTCCAAAATATAATTAAAGAATTATCAATTGAATAAAAGATTTTAAATAAAATATAGTTATATTATTATTTTTATAATTTTTCAAATTAAAAATAAAATATCCCAAAAGTCTTAAAAAAATTTCACTTTTTTTCATTTTTAAAAAGTATTTAAAGAACATTTTTAAATCAGTTTATATTGTTAATTTATTTACAATACAAATCAATGGTCTAAAAAAGTAAATTTATTACATCTTCTATCATTTAGCTATTTAAATTTTGTTAATTTAATTATTTTTCTGTGTAAATTTGCTTTAGATTTTTGCGTGTAAATTTCTTTTCCATTAATCAAATGTTTTGAAATAAATTTTTTTATATTTTGTAAACAATTTACATATATAAACAAATAATCTGTTCAGAATTTATTTCTTAGTTAAAGGAAACAAGAATTTTCAAATTTGGTTCATTATTGTGGTCAAAAACTTAATTTGTATTAAAATATTTAAATTAAAATATTAAATTTTCCAAAAGAAACATAAGAAGAGATAAGAACAATAGAGTCGACTGGAAGTCTAGTCAAAATAAACCATTTATGACACCCTATTGTATTAATTGTCCTTCTATACCTGAATATTAAAATTATATAGTAATATTACTTGAAGTACATATTTGTTTATGTTTCGTTACGTCCTGCCGCCGCCAGATGGCAGAAGCATGCAGGGAGTACAATTTGTGTTAAAATATTAAGGAGGAATGTGCCACAATAAAAAGTAGAAATTTTTTGATGCTTTTGAAATATTTTAAACTTGAATTAATTTTACATAATTTTCTAAAGTTTAAACAATTTTCACCGTCTAGTTTTAAAAAAATTTGCAATTAAATTAACATTGTGTCTTATGCAGTTAACCTCTACAAATCTATAAATTTAGTTTTTTTTTAAACACTGTCAGTAAACATATAGTCCTTTAGAAATATGATTTTTCGATAAATTAAACTTCCAAAATAATTTAAAAAAATTTTTAAATGAGACTTCACCGTCAATTAATATATGAAAAAGATTTTTAATGTGAACTAAATAAATATTTCAGCAAAATTTCCATGAAACATGGCAACATTGCATTTTTTTTTAGTTAAACGTAATTTGTCTCTAAATTTAAAAACTGCTACACAAAAGCTTTAAATAATATTAATTTCTGACAATATGTTTGTTCATCTGATGTCATCCGTGACAGTAAAATATAGGCAAAAGGCTGCTGATTATACTACACGATTCAAAAAAGGTTATTTATAATAATTAATCAAATGCATCATTGCCACGTATCTTCAAAATTTTTCTCGTTTTTTCAAATTTGAATAGAATCTATAATTCTCAATGTATTTTTAATAAAGGTTTTACTTTTAATTATTCTTAATGATAGTGTGTTTTATAGATAGCTAATACACATAAAATCGTTCAAATAATTAGGGCAAACCGGGGTTGTTTGGCGCACTTGAGTTTATACAAAAGTATTAAGTTAAATTAATTTTTCACTTCATTCAAGTTAAAGTACTTGATGAACTGTAAGTTTGTACAAAATTTCATTAATATTCATTCATTATTATTGTGGAGTATAGAGTAAAATAATTAAATAATTAACAGGTTTTATAAAAAAATTAATAAATATTTCAAAAGTACATTCGGGGTTAGGTGACGCTGTTATCTGAAAATTTCGTTAAATATTAATAAAATGAAGTTGATTATATGAAATTTACACATTAATAAGCACCAGTAATAATCCTTTTCAACACTGAAAAAAAATTCTAGTTAGAATAACCAGAATTCTGGTTAGGGTATATTTAACATTTTGATTCTGGTTAGGGTAACCAGAATTCTGGTTATTTTAACGAGAATTCTAGTTAATTCAACTAGAATTCTGGTTAACATAACTAGAAAGTAATGTTAAATATAGCCTAACCAGAATTTTTTTTCAGTGAAAAAATTTAACCGAATAATGGGTTTTTAAATATTCATAGCGTAATTATCACAAAAAATATATATTTTTTGATAATTTTACGATTTCATAGAAAATGCTTTTAATTTAAATGAAATTTTCTAATTTTTAAAATAATTTTATTGTAAAATTACAGTACAAGACTTATTTTGTTAAGTCTTATATTGTTTAAACTTTAAATCATATAATTTAATTAATTTCACTCCTGCGCCAGGCAACCCCGGGCCGTGGTTGCTTGGCGCGCTTTGCACAGATTCAGATAAAGTGGTATAAAAAGAAAAGTATTAAATATATTGAAACTTTCTTTTTTTTTAAATTAAAGCTGAGATGTTATAAGTTTTCTATACAATAACTTTTTTAAAAAACCAAAAAATGAAAGAGTTACACAAGAAAGAGTAAAAAAGTGCGTCAAGTAACCACGGTCTCCCCTACATTCTTCTATAATAAAACTAAATTATTATAACATTATATTATTATAATTTAATAAATTATACAAAAATTAATTAAATTCATTAAATTACCATCTTCCTCGGTGTGACATAATGTTACTCGCGTTGGAATTCCATCGCCAACTCGTGTAAATGCCAACACTTGAATACTATAATTTGTAAACTTTCTCAACCCCGTTAAAACTGTTGTCAAAGCATTTGTTTTCCGCACCTGATAAATAATTGTAATAAACGAAATTCAAAATTAATATTTTCAATGAATTGCAATAAACGAGAATAAATGGAAAATAAATTATCAATTTTAAATTTCAAAAAAAAAAATTACTCAAAAATGAAAACGCAATTGCTAATTATAAATTCAAAAAATAATTTTAAAAAATTAATTTAATTATTATTCAAATTTTTGCAAATATTATTTTTTAAAATTCAATTATACTTTATAATAAAGAATTATGTGAAATGTTATTTTAATTTATTTTTAATTATAATTCAATAAAATGTTTAAAATTATTTTTAAAAAAAATTAAAATCGGAATTTATAATTTAATAGATAAATTGGATATTGAAATGAAATAAAAAAAAATAATTTAAGTTTATTATGAACCTCCATCTCGTCGACTCCGCGCCACATATCGGCTAATAGTGGCTCATAATGAAGTTTATATCCTTGAATAATTCCATTACTGTGAGAATTAGGTGGAGGTTGCCATGAAACTTGGAGAGATTGAGATGTCAGTGCTGCGCATCTTACATCTTCAGGTGGTGTGCTTGGAACTAAGAATAAGAGTAAGAATTTTTAGAAAATTCTCTACGATGCAATAAAAAAGGAAAAATTCACATTAATTTATGTATAAATTAACATTTGTGAAAAATATTAATTTAATTAATTAATTTAATCAATATACAGCTGCGATAGTGAAAGGTTTGTAGTATAATTTAAAAAAAAATTAATATATAATTATAAAACAATTTGATATTTTTTGTTGAAAAATAATGATTTTTCAATAATAAATTTCTAAGTTCAACAATTTTTTTTCCAACACGTGGTGATCAAGGCAAGTGAATGTTTCAAACTTTTCACTACCGCAGCTGTATACAAACATTTTGCGCAGACGCAAATATATCTACTGTATTTAACCTCTTGAAAGATTAAATTTAACCAACACAGTGAAAATCGGCTCAAAGATCGATAATTTAATAGTATAGTAATTTATGCACGATGAACTTGAATTAAATTGTTTTATTTTAATTTTAAAGATATGATGTATTTTTTCGTTTCGACTTATAATTATAATAATATTTGACATTAAAAACTTGTTTTTCTTTTCTTTTAATAAGTCATAATTTTATTTTAGTCATTGTAAATATATATACACTTCCAACGACGTCAGATAAAAGTTTCGACATCACACGTATGTCATTTTCAATATCAATGGATACTTCAAAGAAAAATTTTTTTTATTAATTTAGTTAACCTCAAAACTGGATTCTCTGATTTACCACGAGGTAAATATTAAACATGGACATTAATTAAATGAGAGGTAAAGTGTAAAATCGTCAGTTATTTCAAATAAAAAACATCATGGACATGATTGTCATCTGTTCCATGATGAAAATTTCTGCCTCAACTTCGATTTAAAAAATGCAACAGAGAATCCAGTTTTGAGGTTAACTAAATTAATAAAAAAATTTTTTCTTTGAAGTATCCGTTGATATTGAAACTGACATACGTGTGATGTCGAAACGTTTATCTGACGTCGTTGGAAGTGTATATATATTTACAATGACTAAAATAAAATTATGACTTATTAAAAGAAAAGAAAGACAAGTTTTTAATGTCGAATATTTATTTATTTTACAAGAAAAATTAAAATCATCGGCGGAGGGCTTTTTGCGAAAAACCATTTTTATTAATTTTACAAAAAACCTACTTGACGTTTGTTTGTTTATTTTGACAAATTTATCAAAAGATTAACCCATTTCGTTCTAGGCTTAATTTTAGATGTATTCATATCGTAAAGTGAGTGGGTGACCCTAACCATGAAACACGACGCTGGGACCATGAACACATTGTATAAACATAATAATAATAATGACAACAACATTGTAATGAATAATTTTAGTCATTTTATTTTGTTGTTTGCTTATTCCTTTTCTTATTTAACTCCTTCGCAGTCTAGTAGAAAAATCGTTTGTAGGCCCAAAACGGTTCAAAAAAAAGTTTTTGGGGTCTCTAAATCCAAATTAAAGTTCAGATTTAAAAAATTCAAAATGGCGGACCCAAGATGGCGGAAAAATTGAAAGTTGATTCGATTCGTTCAAAATTTAATACTCAGGGGGTTTTTGGGATCGCTGAAACCAAATTTCATGTCAGATTTAAAAAATTCAAAATGCCAGACCCAAAATAGAGGAAAAAATTCAAAGTTGATTCGATTCGTTCAAAATTTGGTATTCGGGGGTTTTTGGGGTCGCTGAATCCAAATTTTATGTCAGATTTTAAAAATTCAAAATAGCGGAGCCAATATGGCCACCCAATATAGCGAAAAAAGTTTAAAATTGATTCGATTCGTTCAAAATTCGGTACTTGGGGGTTTTTTGGGTCGAAAAATCCAAATCTGACATCAAATTTGGATTCAGCGACCCCAAAAATCACCAAGTACCGAATTTTGAACGAATCGAATCATTTTTTAATTTTTCCGCCATTTTGAATATTTTAAATCTGACCTTAAATTTGGATTTAGCGATCCTAAAAATCCTAAAGAAACCATTTTTATGCAAATCTAGTCAATTTAAAAATTTTTAGACGCCATATTGGGTCCCCCATTTTGAATTTTTTAAATCTCACCTCAAATATATGTCTAAAATCACAAAGGTGGCACAACTTTTTTTGGATATATATGAGCCATTGACTGTCAAGGGGTTAATACACTTTTTTGACACTATGAAAAAATTTTTTGTTGTGATTTTAGCATTTATTTACATTTCATTGAAAAATTAGGTATTTATTGCAATTTTACTTCACTGTAATTGGAATGAAAAGTTTGTTGCTATCACTAATAATTATTTGCATGCAATAATTGAGGGCGCCAGTGTAATAGAACGAAATAAACCGTGGTGGCCCAACGATGCTCAATTGAATTTAAATAAAATTTTTTTGTGCATTTGGGCGTTAATGGGTTTATTATTTAAATAGATTTGTCAAAATAAACAAAAATACGCAGAGTTGGCTTTTGTGTAAAAATAATAAAAATGGCTTTTCTCGGAAAGCCCTCCACCGATGATTTTAATTTTTCTTGTAGAATAAATATGATAACATGTAGATTTAAAATCCGTAAAAACATTTGCAGTTACTGAACTTTTCATTTAAATTTGTGATTCAAGCTCACCGATTGACCAAAAAAAGAACTAATAAAGATTTTCTTTTTTCATCTTTTTTCATTTCACTTTTAATTTAGTATTCTTAAATAAAATTTTCAACAAATTATTTGACATTTTTTCAGAAAATTAATTGTTTTCTTTTCCTCTAACATTTGAAAAAATAAAACCAATAAAAAAAATACTTATTTGGTCAAAAACTAAAATGTACCTATATCAATTTAGCCCCACCAGTGTATCATTTTACCAGCCTGTAGGGCTCCCAGATAGCAAGTAAGCTTGCAGCAACTTTGTGGCAAGCTTGTCGCGCAATATTGCCAACCTTGCATGGCAAGTTTGCCACAAGCTTCAAATATCCCACCTAACCCAAGCTTGCATGGTAAGCTTGCCGAAAGATTGCAGTGTAAGGTTACTGCAAGATTGCACAGTAAGATTATCACAAGATTGTTCAGTAAGCTTGCACGGTAAGCTTGTAGCAAGGTTGGTGCAACGTTGACAAATTATAATAAATAAAATAATTATATTTTGAATCACAATTTTTATGAAACTGTACTAAATCTTAGTAAAGAGTTTGTAGAATTATTACTTTTATTAAAGTTCACAAATATTTACTACAATTTGAAAAATAATTATTTAAAATTGAAATATATTTTGTACTTTTTATACCAATATTTCCTATTTTGACACTTTTTCCCTAAATTGAAAAATATTTACTAAAATTACTACTATACTTATTGAAATTTAATATATATTTTCTTTCAGTGCAGTACATTCACAGATTAGAAACTAATGGAACGAATCTTGTCGTAAACGGTAGAAATAATTAATATTATTATTTCTAATCGCGACATATTTACTCTATATAAAAACATTTCAAAACTATTAAAAACAATTATTTTTTAAAATTTCATCATTACAAAAATTGAAATAAACATATCTTAAGGTTTTATAGTCGAAATTTGTTTTTTGTTTTTGAAGAATGGATTCTAGGCAAAAAATATTTAGTTTTTTAAATATAATTATTTCAGAACTAAAGAAAAATGGATCACGCAAAAAAAAATTATTGTTTCTAAACATATTTCGAACATTTATATCTATAAATTAAATGGGTGAGTGTAATTTAAAAAGTTTCATATTTATAACGTTAAGGGTATGTGGGAACCTCCAACTTGACCTAGTATGGGAAAATGTGTTTTGGTAGTATACATCTTACTCTAAAATGAAAAAATATTTTTATCTACAATTTTGAGAAATGATAGATTAGGGTACAAGGAATCGTACATAATTTTGCGTTAAATTATTAAAAAATGAAGTTTAAAAAGTTGCATTTTTAAAAGAAAATGAAAACAAATATGGCAGCGCATACACAAACGTTGCTTGAGTGTGTCAGTAATCCAGTAAACAGCGCCAATTCGAGCAAGTGTCCACTGAATGAACTACGATTAAATACATTATTTTACTATTTATTGCTTTATTTTTATTATTTTTGCGTTAAGTTATGGTAAATGAGTAGAACAACGAAGTTCCTTGTACCAAACAAAATCATTTCTCCAAAATTTTAATCCAAAATAATTTTTGATTTCAAAGAAAGTTTCAAACCACAAAAAAAAACGTCCTTCGCCCACATACCCTTAATTCGTCCTGTTCTAGAGATTTGTCCATATATCAAATGAAAGTTGAATGAAAATAAATTTTCAAACGGTAGAATACAAATAATGATAAATCTCACCATCCTCAAGTGTCTGCGATGTTAAAGGTTCTGAGAGAGGTCCAGATCCAACTTGATTGTAAGCTTGGACTACCAGAGTATATCTCGTATAAGGTCGAAGTCCCGAGAGACGAAGTTCTCCTCCACCTTCCTCACCGTCTCCAGAGACTGAGGTGAAATTGTAAGATGGATTTCCTGAGCTGAAAAACAAATAAATAAATTCAATACACTATCAGAATGGTGAACTGTATTATTACTTATACAGACCATATATATAGTCAGATATAAATTTTGTGATATATATTGATTAAAATTTTATTTTCGTACTTTGTTTCTCGGTATCCTACATTAAAACCTTGAACATCGCCATGTCGAAGTTCAGGAAGAGGAGGTGACCATGTGACCAACATTTCTGTCGAGGACAGAGGTCTTGCTACTAAATTAATTGGTGGGCCTGCTGGTCTTTGTGGCTCAGTTCTCACGATAAGTTCAGCGGAGGGTGTTGATCTTCCAGCGGGGCCTTCAGCAATCACTCGAATTGTATACTTTGTAGCTGGTTTCAATTCATCAATTAAAGCAGCATAAGGCAGTGGAGGTCCAGTTAATTCTTGTTGTTGCCACAAACCTACAAATTTTCAATTATCTTATTCAAGTAAACATCTCGTTAAACCGATCGAATTGTTGAATAAATTTTTAATATATCAAATATATTGATAGTGAACACAATGAGGCTCTTTTCACTAATGGGTTTTCCTTAATTTTCATTTTTTTCTTTAAAAAATGAAAAATAGAAAATTTAAAAGTAGGGACATTGATTTTAAAACTTTTCGTTCTATACGAAATGTTCAGTCTAAGTACAAAATCAGTCTAAAAACAATTTAAAATTAGATTCATTCTCAATTCAAAAAGTTCAGTCTCTACTAAATTTTCTCAACTAAACTTTAACTTTTAGTTCCAGTCTTCCAATCTAAATATCTGAATCAAAAGTAAGTGTTAAATAATTATTATTGCTATCATTTAATTGGAATGTCATAAATGTTACGTATAGAGAAATGTGGTGAAATACAACACTTCGGACGTTCACAGAAAAAACCTGAATTCAAATTGAGTATAGATTCTATACTCAATTTGATTCGCAACAAAAATGAAACTGGTTGTTTCATTTCGAGTTCTAAGGTAAAAGTATCAAAATGAAACAGGCAAGTTTCATTTTGAGAAACAGAAAAATGGAAAAATATTGTGAAATAACGAATAATTTTGCACAAAAACATGAAATATAATAATTACAAAGAAGTAAATAACACGCTAGACTTAATATATTTGATTAAAAATTGCTTGTAATCGCGTAATAAAATAATAAAGGAAATATGTTTTTAGGTTAGAAAAATGAAAACATGTGTTTTGACAACAGGAACGGTACTGCCAACTTAAATAATAGCGGTAAATTTAAAAACTTATGAAATTAATTATTATCTACGTAAATAATAATAAATAATTTTTATTTAAAAACTTCTAAATATTCGTACTGGTCAAAATAATCTTTCTGGTGTTGTTGAAATATTAGAAACAATAATTGAAATACGAAATTACTCTGCTTATGATGCCAACTTAGAAATCTGAAATTCCAGCCAATATCATTTTGAATAACATGAAGTTTGTCCCATATTCATTTCGATACCCAAAAGAAAATGAGTTGCAACAAAAATGAGTCCAAGTTTTTTCTGTGTTTTACTTTATAATTTGGCTACACATCCCTGTGTAAATTTTTTTAAGTTTTACACAGAAAGAAAAAATTCAGGAAAAATTACTGAACTGAGTTGAGTAACTCTGGATATCGCGACTATTTCCGGATATTTTCAAACTTATCTGTTTAAATAAGTAATAAAATATTTTGAATATAGTCTAAAATATTTTCTGATTTTCTGTTAAAATGAACATTAATAATTCAAGAAGAAATCAAATTAGAATTTGCTTAGTCCATTTCAGAAATGTTAAAGAAACTTTCTTATACTTATTACCGAGTTACTACATGAATTTCTCATAAAGCCTCATATGAAAAATTACTGAACTATTTCTGAAAATTCTTAGCTAAGAAAGACGAAAAAATTTTTTTTTCTATTTCTTCTTTTATCACTCACATTTTTTTGTAAACACACATAACTATTACGTTACACTTGACAATTTATATATAGCGATGAAATACAAACTCAAATATTATTAATATAACACACACAGACAATTTTTATTAAGAATCTGAAGCAGAAAATTAATTTTAGAGAAAATTGGACAGCAGGCGGATTCGAACTCTCGTATCTAGGTACAGAAATCCGGTGTGTATCCTCTGAGCTAAAATAGTTAAATAACTTCTGTTTCTTAGTAGAAATCTATAAGCAACTGTATGCCGAGTGCATACACACTCATACACAGTGGCAATGGTTAACTGCGCATCAGAGTCAATTCCGAGTTCCGTAATTTTTCAGTGTATGTGTACCAGTGTTGGATAGTAACTAGTTATTAGTAACTTAGTTACTGAAAAAGTTACTTAATTGTAACTTATAACGTAACTAAGTTACTTTTTTAAAAAGTAACTTGTAACGTAACTTAGTTACTATTTTAATAGTAACTTTTAATTTTAAGTTATTTCGTTACTTTCTTTGCACTTTTTTATTGCTTTTAAAACTTAATAATTTCGTATTTCAAAAAAAGCGCGCAAAGTGATAGCAAAAGAACATGGCCTCTGCGCTCGCATGCTGCGCATTGTACCGAGTGTTTACATTCTGTTTTTCATGTGCTCGTGTTCCATCGTATTCGTTTGGTTTACCGTTGCAGAAATAGGGGATTTACCTGCATAATTTAAACAGTGTACAAGATTTTTTAAAATAACATTTTAATTAATTAATTTATTTGTATTCGGAAGTTTTATATAGACTTTTATTTAAGAATTTTTAAAAATAATTTTTAGCAACCCCGTGTCGAAATTGTACCTTATTAATTGATTTGTAAATTAATTCTTAAAATGGCAAACAAAATCCATGATTATTAAAACTAATTTTCTAATAATAATAATATTTTTAAAATTTTTATAAATAAATACTTGGATAGGTTAAACATGGATGCGTTAAAGAATTAGAAGCAGCTATAGCGAAAGAAAAAAAAAGAGAAAATTCGAAGAACAATTCTCAGATTCTTCATCACAGTCAAATAAGAAGCAAACTCTTTTGGAAAACTGGACTTCCGATTCAAAGCTAGTTACTCAAACAATATTGGATAAAAAAATTATGGATTATGTAATAGAAGTGTTGTAGAAAAATCATCTTTTAAAGACCTAGTGTTACTTGGATTACCAGGAAATTTTAAAATTTTTACACGTAAAACTTTAGAGGAAAGAATAGATGATGCTTTTATTAAAATGAATGCAAATCTATGTGAAAAACTTTAATAAATACATCGTTAGCCCCAAGTCGAATGCACGCAACTTTCCGAGACATTTTGGAAAGTAGCAGAATGTACGTAACTCTGAGAATCGTTTGGAACTCGCTTATGTTGGTTTTTTGTGTTTTTGCAAAATACAAATTACAATATTTCTGCTCGAAACATAGCAATAAAAAGTGTAAGGCAATGTTCAATAAAATCTCAATTATTTAATCTACAAGCATCCTATGTCGTACTTCGCGGGCATCAATTTTATGCTTTTAAAGAACGTCACTATTACACGGAAAAACTTTGTTCAAGAATCATTCCTAAATTTATTCAGGAACTGAGGATATGAGAAAAATTCTGCAAAATTTACAGAAAAATACAAAAATCATTCAAGAAAATACTTGTATTTTTATTATGACATTGGAAGACTTCTTGTTAATGCCGCGATCGGAATATCTCAGTCACTGGGCGTTGAAAGTTTCTTGAACTGTTTTAGAAGACACAGTACAGTAACCAAGCACTAGGCAGGGATTGGTTGCGTCAAATATGTTTCCAATGCATAATAATACCATAAGCTGCTAAGGTAGCTGAGAGATGTAAAGCGCAGTTTTTGGACTCTCGAGGACGTGGGATCGAGTCCTCCCAGAGTAAATTTTTTTTCTCGCAAACGTAAAAATTTATTCTAAAACAAGTTCAAGACTTTCTGTAGTGAGTTTAGGAAGTTGTCTTGAATTTCTCTACAATTCTTATAGAAACACTGCTTAGAATTTTTCAAAGAAAATATAAATAAGATTTCCTAAATTATTCTCATATCCTCAGTTCTTGAACAAATTTAGGAATGATTCTTGCACAAAGTTTTTCTGTGTACTATAAGAGTATATAACCATTATACTTATTTAGTATGGACTTACTTTAAACTAAAAAATCATTATTTCATACTTTAATAGGTAAACGAAATTATATACTATTAAAGTATAAAGCAGTTTTGTGCTAAAATAGTTAGTTTGTTTTTTCCGTGTGGAATTATTTAAAAAAAATGTACGTCATGTAAAATTACTTTCAAATTGTTCTTGGAGCATTTCATTAAATGAAGAATATTCGTGTATTAGTTTTATATATGTAGAAAGCTACATAACTAAACGAAAAATAATAATTAGAGATAATTTAAATGTGGAAATATATTTAAACGAATCACGATGTATGCTGTTAACCAAAATGCACATAAATTCATTTTAAAACTTCTGGTATCTATCTGTTTACAACGCGGTGCGCGAGAAGTTTCGGAACTAAAAAAAGCTTCCGACAAAAATTGTCCTTTTTCTTATATGGCTCATTTCATTTAAATTGTCATATTCAGCTTCCAGAAAAGTTGAGTTGGAAAATTTTGATTTTAAGGTTGAAACTAATTTTTTTATACAGTTTAACATGTTAAATTAAAAAAATAAATAGTGGTCACAAAATTAAAGTCATATATTTCTTATGGCAGACGGTTTTTTTTGGCAGAAATCGTCATATCTTATAAAAAAAATTTTCTGTCAATTTTTGATAATATAATAATACTAAATATAATTCGATTTGACTGGTGATAAATATACTGAAGTTTTTGGGGTCGCTGAATCTGAAATTGAAGTCAGATTTAAAATATTCAAAATGGCCGATCCAAAATAGCAACCATGAAAATTTAGAAGTTGATTCGATTCGCTTGAAACTCGTTACTTAGGGGCTTTTTGGGTTACTAATTACAAATATGACGTCAGATTTTCAAAATTTAAAATGGTGGATCCAATATGGCGACCCAATATGGCGGATAATTTCAAGACTGATGCGATTCGGTCGAAATTTGTTTCTCGGGGGTTTTCGGGGTCGCTGATTCGAATTTGATGATAGATGAACCCAAAAATCTTAAATACGATGAAATCATATTTTTTTGAAAGCTCTGTTTGGAACCTTATTAGGCCTATAAGTGATTTTTAACTGGACTGCGAAGGGGTTAAAAATTATATAGGCAAAATGCAAAATTTATGTCCTTATACATTATGAATATAAAACAAATAAACATCTATTCATTTCGCCGAAGGAATTAAAATAAAAATTTTTTGAGGGTGGGTTATAACTCCATTTTATGGAAAAAATTAGGGAAGAGGGTTGCGTGTACGGGTCATGTAGTACACGAATTATGCTATAATCTAAAAACTTTTTTGAAGTTTTTACCACGTCAGGTTAATGAGAAAAATCATATTAAACACCCATAACAACATGTTTCTTGGGGGTTTTTACCCCCACTTTTTTCAAAATCCTGACATGCTAGGCAATTTTAAGATCCGGGATCGTGTTCAGCACCCAAAAATACATTAGAAACCATTCTGATATCAAGATAAAAGAAAAAAGTTTTATTTTGTAGGCCTCTGTGATTTATTACGTTTACTGAAGCCATATATACAAATTTGCATTACACTTATGACCATTACACTTATGACCATTACACTGTTGACATTTTGCTCGTTTTTCATTTATAAAATGAAAACGGTTATACTTATATCGACGGGGTTGGTCTCATTCGAAAGAGAATCCAAAAATACATTAAATTCCATACCGATATAAAATTCAAAATATTTTCTAACCATTTTCAAGGCGTTACACTGTTGACAGAAATTCAATTACGAAAGTGTTTCGGCTTTTTCTGCCACCATGACAAACGAGCAGATTTATACTTATATCGTTTTTGTTTTTTTCACACACTTCGTTGTTGTGTTCTGCTGCTTATGCGATGGTAAAGAAATTTTTTTGCTCATAAGGTAATTTAAATAGCAGGTAAAAGTTGAAAATTCTGCCGGCAAAACGTAAAAATACAAAAGTGAGGGACACGTCATTTTCATTTTCTGTAAATTGTATAAAATAAAGTTTAATTACCAACACTTGATTTTCCTTAAATATAGAACTAATACTTCACGAAACATTTTTTTAATCTGGTTTAAACACTATATTTTCGACATTTCATTCATTTGAACATTGAAAATGTCTCCGGGGACGCATTACACTTATGACATTTTGCCTGCTTTTTGTTCTACCAATATTATGAAAATCACTTTTATGTCCTTGTAAGTAGAAAATTTATTGAAAATCATTGCTTTTTACTATATAAACAAATTAATTTCAACTAAGGTTATATCAAATAATTTTTTTTGGCAAGGGACACGAATATGACAATTTAAATGAAATGAGCCATATACTACATTGGTCTCCTGTAGTCTATTCTCCATGAAATCAATTCTCAATATTGTTCAACATGAGTGGGAATTTTTGAAATATTTTTTAAAAAGAAAATTATTTTCAACATATAGCTCACCTTCTCCTTCTTTATATTGAAGAATATATTTGGTCACTTCACTAGTGTCTTGAGATTTGTGTTGCCACTTTACATTGATACTACGACTGGCAACCATTGCAGTTTCCAGTCCACTCGGTGGTAATGGTGGTTCTTAAATGAAGAATATTTATTTAAAAAATAACATTAATAATGACAAAAATCCATTTTTATATAATATTAATTCTTATTATCAAAATAATAATAATTCAAAAATAAAATTCAATTATAATAATTTATTGTTGAATAAAAAAACAATAATATCGAAATATATATGTGTGTTAATTTGAAATTTTGCTTTATTTTTATTTTTTTTATAAAATTTACCTTGTACAATAAGTTGTACTAATTGTTGATCGCGACCATATAAATTGCTAGCTTGACAAAAATAAGCTCCACTGTCAGAAGCTTCCGCTGCTGCAATTTGCAATTGGGCAACAACTCCGTCCGGAGTTATTTCCTGCTTCACTGTTACCCTTTATATCAATTCAATGAGAATTATTTTTTACATATAAAATAAATTCTAAAAAAAATTTATCTCTAAATTAAATTAAAAAAAAAAAATTCAATAAATAAAAAATATTATTTATAAATTTGAAGAGTATTTGTTTTTTTTGTGCGAAAAAAATAATTTAAAAAATATATAAATACATATAGTGAATAAAATGAAAAAATATATATAATTTTTCAATTTTCTTACCGATAATTTGTCGATGGATTTAATTCAATTTTACCACCTTTTAACCATGTGACAGTAACAGGTTTATCACCATGTACTTCGCAATGAAGAGTCGCTGTATCACCTTTTTTAACGGTTACTAGGCGAGACGGAGCCGCAAAGAATGGAGAAGCTTTGGAAACATTAAAAAAAAAAAAATTTAGTTGATAAAATTGGTAAAAATTATTGCTCAACTAGCATGTAATATTACCTTAATATCACAATAACATTACATAAAAAATTCGTAATATTACCGTGTAACCTTACATTAATATTATATTGGAGGAATATTACAGATTAATACTGCGAGACTTTTTGTTTTAAGAAAAAAAATCTCACCAGTGGGAATCGAACTCTGAACCTCTCGCACACGAGTCGGAAGTTTAAACAACGAACCAATATGACTTATTGAAAATTTACACTGAGAAAAAAATTAAGTCAAAGCAACCAAAATTTTATTTTTAATTTTAATTTTATTTTATTATTTATTTATTATCAATTTAACGTTTAATTTATATTTATCCAATTGAAATATTTGTGGACTTTGAAAATTTTCATCTCCTGGGATCGAACCTCTGACCACTGGACTACCAATCTTTGTGAGAGATTTAAAATACGAATCAAATTATTTGGTTGTCGTAACCAAATTTTGGTTGAAATTTAAAAATGTTCAATTAAATAATTTTGTTGGCCTAACCAAATGTTTGGTTGAGATAACTCTACGACTTTATTTCAGCCAACCAAAATTGCTTTAACCAAACGATTTTGTTGCAAACACAAAATCTTTTTTTTCAGTGTTTTAAAAACAAAAAAAAACAAACAAAAATTGAAAATTTAGATTATTCACAAGATATGAAATTGTATAGGTTATGTTAACAGTTTATAATTTAAAAAATATATAAATATAATATATTTATATATTTTAAATATTATTATATTATAATAATAATTAAAATAATAATAGTAATAATTTAATAACAATAAAATTGACTACCAAGTGTTTCTATTTTTTTTTTGTTCTTCTAATATAAAAGTTTGCTTTTTTTATTTTTTTGCAATTTCTAAGGTTTGAATGTATATCTAAATACTTTCTTCGTTTTATTTGACATTTCAATATAAGGTAACTCGTGTGCCTTTATATAATAGAAATCCACATACACATACACACATATGGAGATAAAAGTTTTAAGAGACATTCACTGATAAAAGAAAATAGTTTCAAATGACCGTATAAGAAATAGCAGTTGAGAACTTACAATTGACTTTAAGCTGCACCACTTTTCCAATGCCAGTTCCAATACCATTGCTAGCTTGGCAAAGATAGAAGCCTTCTCTATCTTCTTTAACGTGCTGAAGCAATAGAGTGCCATTTGGAAGAAGTTTCGTATATGCTCTTTCTCGCAGCTCCTCATACTCGCCTGTTTTACCACCTATTTTCAAAAAAATGTTCTAAGCTATAAAAGTTAAAATAAATCTACTTTCCTTCTTTTTCTTTCTTTTTTTTTTTTTGATAATACAATCATTGTAAGAAACTTTTTCAGGTTTTGAGAAGCAGGGCCGAATTATTTATAACGAGTATTTGAAGTTTGTTCTATATATAGCACTGCAAAAATTAAATGACTTACTTGGTATCTCAAAATAAGATGTAATTTGGAAAAATGGTATCTTCCATCTTTTAAAAAAAGATATTTTGTAAAGTATCTTATTAATATTTAAGATATGCTTTTTGCGTTTTAACAAGAATTAAAATATTTCTTCCATCTTAAAATGTAAGTTACTTCGGTAAGTTTCTATACAGTAATATCCCGGACTTACGCGATAGGTGGGACCGAGCGATAACCGTGTAAGTCGAATTCGCGTTAATCGGGGTTTAAGTTTTCATATAAAATAAATACAATAATTTAGAATTTATAAAAAATATGTTTAATAAAATATCAAGTAATAAATCTATTTACATTTTTATGAATAAAAACAACGTAAACAAGGAGGGGGTCCTTTATGTTTATTTCATAAACATTATGCTTCCTCATTGTGTGAAGCAAAAAATTCGCTTCCTCGTGAAGGAAGCAATGAATTTGTCCAATTCAATTGATTGATTTAAAAAATTTCGAGTTAAAAATGTTTTAAATTAATTAAATTTTTTGAAAAATAAAGAAAATTTTAATTAATTTTGAGTGTAACATAAACTTTATATATACGAATCGATTCGTTTTAATGCAAGCAATACAATTATTTTATTCATCAACTTGAATTTAAAAAAAACACAAAATTTTTTAGCTAAAATATGAATTTTCGATTTTTCAATTTTTATTAATTCTCAAATTTTAAATCAAATCTATGCTTTATATATACCAACCAATTCGTTTCAATGCAGGGAATAAAATTATTTCATATATAAACATGAATTTAAATAAACACATCATTTTTTAGCTAAAATGAGAATTTTTCATTTTTTAACTTTCTTTAATTCTTTAAATTTCAATCAAATCTATACTTTATATATATCAATCGATTCATCTTGACATAAAGAAGACGATTATATTATATATTACCTTAAATTTTTCGATTTAAAAATTTTTTCAATTAAAAAAAAATTTTTGGAAAAAAGACGATAAAATTTTTTTTTTTGGGTATTTTTAAAAATCCTCTCGTCATTTTTGAGAGATTAATGTGTTAAATAAGCCTACCAAATTTTATCCAAATCCATTAAAACCTGTTAAAGATATCGTGTTCACAAAAACGATCCACACACACATACACACACACACATACATACATCCGGACAATTGATCAGGATCTCATATAACATGTTTCTATATAGAGGAAAATTTGTTTTCACCATTTTTAAAAAGTTTATAAACGAAAGGACTACATAGCTTCCTCCACGAGGAAGCAAAAACAATAATAAATTATTTATTAATTAATTAAAAAGTTACACGGAAAAAATTAATTCAGTAGATTTTACAGAACTATCACGGAGTAGCGGATACAGCTCTTTACGAAACTGAGTGTTGTAAAATGTCACTAAATATTCAGAATAAACTTGAGAAATATTCAGTATAAACGCAATGAAATTTTTGTAGTTTATCCGTAAATATCCATCACATTTTACAAAACTCTGTTTCGTAAAGAGCTATATCCGCTACTCCGTCACAGTTTTGTAAAATATACTGAATTAATTTTTTCCTTGTAATTCGCGCGGCCATAAAAAAACGCGTATCTCCGAAATCGCGTAAAACGAGGTAGCGTAAGTCGGGGTTTTACTGTATAAGTAACTTCAATTAAGATATTTGTGGAGACATAAGATATTTAGAAAAAAGATGCTTGTACATTCTAAGATACGTCAGAATTTGAAGTTACTAAAATATAAAATACATTAAGCATCTTTCATAAGAGGTCATAGTTAACCTCAAAATTGTTTTCATCAAAAATATGTGAAGCACTTTGGCAAAGATACTATTAACATATCTTAAATTTAGATATTTCAAATGACTAAAAAGTCACTACCAAAACATCTTTAAAATGACTACCAAAACATCTTACATTAAGATACTTCTTTTTGCAGTGAGTGGGTTTAAAGTTAAACGAAATGTCTAAGTAGGTTCAACGTAGGGTCTAGGAAGTTGTAAAAGTAGGTTTAAACCAAGGTCTAATTCAATGTAGGGTCTAAGTAGTTTCAAAGTAGGTTAAACGCAACGCCTAAGTAGGTTCAATGTAAAGTTCAAGTAGTTTTAATATAGAGTCAAAGTAGGTTCAACGTAGAGTCGAAGTAGATTCAATTTAGGGTCTAAGTAGTTTTAAAATAAGGTTAAAGTAGGTTTAACCTTAAATTTATATAGGTTCAATGTAGGTTCTAAGTTTAGTTTTAATATATAGGGACAAAATAGTTTCAACGTAGGTTCGAAATAGCTTTAATTGTATAGGTAAAATGAAAGTTGGTTTCACAGAAAAAACTTGGACTCATTTTTGTTGCAACTCATTTTCTTTTGGGTATCGAAATGAATATGGGACAAACTTCATGTTATTCAAAATGATATTGGCTGGAATTTCAGATTTCTAAGTTGGCATCATAAGCAGAGTAATTTTGTATTTCAATTATTGTTTCTAATATTTCAACAACACCAGAAAGATTATTTTGACCAGTACGAATATTTAGAAGTTTTTAAATAAAAATTATTTATTATTATTTACGTAGATAATAATTAATTTCATAAGTTTTTAAATTTACCGCTATTATTTAAGTTGGCAGTACCGTTCCTGTTGTCAAAACACATGTTTTCATTTTTCTAACCTAAAAACATATTTCCTTTATTATTTTATTACGCGATTACAAGCAATTTTTAATCAAATATATTAAGTCTAGCGTGTTATTTACTTCTTTGTAATTATTATATTTCATGTTTTTGTGCAAAATTATTCGTTATTTCACAATATTTTTCCATTTTTCTTTTTCTCAAAATGAAACTTGCCTGTTTCATTTTGATACTTTTACCTTAGAACTCGAAATGAAACAACCAGTTTCATTTTTGTTGCGAATCAAATTGAGTATAGAATCTATACTCAATTTGAATTCAGGTTTTTTCTGTGTTAAGGGGTTAGGGGTAGTCAGAGGCACGAAAAAATGAGAATTTTCAGTATTTTTTTTTTGCTATTAAATAATTTTATTTTACAAAAGTAGTAATATGGTATTATTAAACAATGTTTTGACTTGAAGTCACGAAAATTTCAAAAAAAAAAAATTTTTATTTCCGAAGTTACAGCTGTTTGTGTTAACCCAGTTCCAAAAAAAGGTCCTTGCGGTGACAATCATAAGTCCTTGGAGATTAATCAGAAATCAATCGTATAAAAAAAATTAGTTTTATAAATAAATAATCCTGGGCCTGATCGAAGGATTTTTTTTTTTTTCAAAAATTAACAAAATGGCGGCCTCAGGAAATTTTTGTCTAGATTTTTGGGAAAAAATCAACAGTTAATTGGTCTTAAAAAATCGAAATTTTTCAAAAAAAAAAAAAATCCTTCGATCAGGCCCGAGTTTATTATGTATTCTAAAAGCTGTATAAATTTCATTAAAATCGACTGAGCGGTTTTCGAGTTATAGTTGTCACCAGTTCAAAAAACATAGTTTTGAGAAAAACGCGTTTAGTTTCACACTAGATTTACGTACAAAAAAACGAATTATTAAATTACTTACACCGAGTCATCTATTCCTGGGCCATATTAATTTAGGTACTACTACATATACCCAAGTCTGAGTTCATCGATGACAATAGAACCCTAAAAGCCGATTTCTTGCAGCTGCCACTAGCTGCAAGCGCTCCCGAACGCTTTCAAAGGCCCGAGCTCTCTTTGTTATTTGTCGAATAACTTAAAAACGAATTATCGGATTAACTTGAAATTTTCAGAGATTATTTTTAAGATATTTTACTTAACGAAAATGCAAAAAAAAAAATTTGATTTTTTGAAAATTCTGACTACCCCTAACCCCTTAACGCCGTCTATATAGGAGAGATTCTTTTTCAATCGCCCCAGCCCAAAAAGTCAATGTTCTGGGATTGGCTTCATACTTTGGTAAATTGTTGTCCTATATGATAGTAATAAATCCCTAAAATATAAACTCATTAAAAAAATATTTGTAGAAAGTAGAGGGGGTTGAAGTTTTGACGTTAAGGGTAACCTTGTCATTTTCAAATCCGTTTAACTATGACAAAAGTTAATGGATTTTAATTTATCTATAATGAATTTTATTGCATTTTTCACGTACTTTTCAAAAATGTATACGAAATTTAAAAAAAAAAATTTTTAACCCCTTTTTTGTCAAAATCAACCCTTATTTTTCGATTTTCACCCCTTCGGGTATTTTTTTTTTTTTTTTTTATTTTCATTGGAAAGCTGAGGTTTTTTCCGATGAGCTATGTAAATATGAAAATGGGACAACAATAATTTTGTGAGAAACAGAATATTAAAGTAGGCGGTGCCGATAAGTGGTGTACCTGGAGATCATCTTTGAGGATTTAGATAGGCACCGCCTTATTTAATATTATGTTTCTCACAAAATTATTGTTGTCCCATTTTTATATTTACATAGCTTATGGGAAAAAACCTCAGCTTTCCAATGAAAATAAAATAAAAAAAAAATACCCGAAGGGGTGAAAATCGAAAAATAAGGGTTGATTTTGACAAAAAAGGGGTTAAAAATTTTTTTTTTAAATTTCGTATACATTTTTGAAAAGTACGTGAAAAATGCAATAAAATTCATTATAGATAAATTAAAATCCATTAACTTTTGTCATAGTTAAACGGATTTGAAAATGACAAGGTTACCCTTAACGTCAAAACTTCAACCCCCTCTACTTTCTACAAATATTTTTTTAATGAGTTTATATTTTAGGGATTTATTACTATCATATAGGACAACAATTTACCAAAGTATGAAGCCAATCCCAGAACATTGACTTTTTGGGCTGGGGCGATTGAAAAAGAATCTCTCATAGGTTACATGTAGGATTTAAAAAGTTTTAATATAAGGTAAGGTAGGTTGGTAGGTTCCACGTAGGGTTGCACTAGATTAATTATGGGGCCGAAATAGATTCAACGTATACGTATTTTTAATATAGGGTTAAAGTAGTGTTTAACCCAAGGCCTATATGTAGGTTCAATGTAGGTTCTAAGTAGCTTAAATATAGGGTCAAAGTAGGTTGAGCGCTAGAACTAGTTTAATATTAGGTCAAAATGGGTTCAATGTAAGGTCTAATTAGTTTTAATGTTGGGTCAATATGGGTTCAACAAAGGGTCTAAGTCGTTTTAATATTGGGACAATGTAGGTTCAACATAGGACCAAAGAAGATTTAATATACAGACATTTTAGGTTCAACGTTGGGTCGAAGTAGGTTTAACGTAGGGTTAAAAAAGCTTGAATGATATGTTGATAAATCAATTATAATTCAAATCTTAAATTTACTTTCTTTCAAAAAGTTGTAAATGTATTATTTTTAAATTTAAAAAATATTCTATATCTAAGTATATAACATTTATAAAGAATTTATAAAGAAAAACGCAATGCTTGCGTGAAATATAATTTTTAAAATACACTTCGACATGGTATAAGTTATTTGACCAGTGTACTAAATTTTCTAAAAGAAGAAAGCTAACGATAAATCAAGCAAAAAGAACTAGCACGCGAGTTTCACACACACACACATATATAGTAAAGTTTTCCTCGAGAATAAAAAAAAAATCAGAGCGAGAGGGGTGGGGGGGGGGGTATTTAGAAAAAAAGTGTTCGTTCGCAAAATGTGCAAACGAGATATCTGAAAATTCAATCGGAAAAGAGAAATATATATATCTATAGTTGGTGCGAGCGCTAATGGAATTCATAAATCGCCGAGGTTTACATCGCGCGATGGGAACATTCCGTCTGACTGTAGTTCGACCATTACTACTTCGTAGCACGTCCAATAAGTAAAGGGGAATATAGCGAGCGCTAGTCAGACCTTTACTAAAAGGGGAAAATAATCAGCAATGGTCAGCCCCTCATTTCTCTCTAATAACCAATAAATTCTCAAGAACCATATTATATTGAGGATAATAATTGATTTTGTTCTCAATAAATTTTTATTTATTCTTTTTTTTTTTTAATGTATTTTCAACCTTTATCATGAGCAGAATATTGTTTAAAAATAAAACAGAAGACTAAAAGCTAAAAATAAGTAAATATTATAGATATCGAATATTTTAATTGCTTGTTATTTATATGTGACGCTCCACAGTGAAAGGGTGCTTAGCTGTTTTTGACAGAACTAAAATTTGCAGTAAAAATAAATATAAAAACGACTAGTTTTCGATACAAACTATTTAATTATTTATTAGATGCAATATTTTCCTTAAAAAAATGCTTTTTATGTTAAATAATCAAAAATAAATCTTTAATAAAGTAAAAACTACCATGAACATAACCTAAAATGTTAAGCAGATAAGCACCACCCTTTCACCGTGAAGCGTCACATATACTTGATATTAATTAATTAAATCCACAGAAGAATGTAAATTTTAACCTCCATATCAGCAAAGATAATTAACTATTAACATGTTGCTATGGAAAAAAGCAAAAAAAAAACATTTTTTCAATAAGATTTATTACATATAGAGACCATTTTCACCGTGTGGATAAATTTAATTTTCCTTGAGGTTAAAGGCAGTAGATATATTTTGCGTCTGCGCAGAAGCTCTGTATACAAACATTCTGCACACGGTGAAAATGGGCTCACAGTACCCACTTGGAAAGATTCCCCGGAAAGTGCCCCCTGGAGGTTCTATCAGAATTCCGCCGATACTTCCAACGTAATTCCGTCGGAATTCCATCGGAGTTCCAAAGAATTTCCGATGGGATTCTGACGGAGTTCTGACGGAATTCCAATTAATTTTCTTCAAAATTTTTAGAGTCCTAATTCCGTCGGAATTTTGTCGGAATCCCATCGGAAATTCTTTGGAACTCCGATGGAATTCCGACGGAATTGCGTTGGAAGTTCCGGCTGAATTCTGATAGAACCTCCAGGGGGCACTTTCCGGGGAATCTTTCCAAGTGGGATATCGTGAATGATAAAAAAAAAGTTTAAGATTTTTAATTACCTGTTCCCTTTTTCCAAACAATGGTGGGAGTTGGCACACCTTGTGCTTGACAATGTAAAGAAACGTGTCTGTTTCTTTCAACACTAACGTCAATAGGCTCGACGATCCATTGTGGTGGCACTGAAAATGAGATAACTCCACTATAAAAATTCCGTCACGGGTCTTTAATAAAAGTTACTGGTCGTTAGCGATTTAAAAAAGAAAAATTCTTTTTTTTTTTCTTCTTAAAGTGACAAGGATTTAAAAGCGTGGGATTCGCATGGAAAATGAACAATGTCATCTCTACTTTTTATATTATATCTCATTTGAGAAAATTATGCTTTTACAGATGAGAATGGGGAAAATGAATAAAATAAAATGAAAAAAAAATAACTCAACTTCTAAATGTGACTCGAGTTTTTAATTTTTACAAATAACGCCAACGACGAGCTCATTTTTATTTTTATAATTTATTTAATTACTATAAAAACTTATTTTACTTTTTACTTTAATTTTATACTTTACTTCACTTATTTTTTTTGAATATTTTATTTTTATTTAATTGCTAATTTAATTTTACAATTAAATATAAATAATAATGGAAAAATTATAGTTACTATGATAAAAGAAAAGTTAAAATTAACAAAAAAAATATTTTACAATTAAATTTTGGAGTAATTTAAAATAGTTGACAAAGAAAATGAGAATTGTGAAAGAGGTTTTATGATGGTATTTGTATATAATATAGAGTAAATTTGAGATGAAGGATAATAAATTAGGATTAGAATTATTACGAGAGATCTCATTGAAGATTTTTTCAACATTTAGTTCATTTTCGTGCATCTTACAGCGAAAAAAAATTTCTTCGTTTGAGAGGATTTATTTTTAGTTTTATGCAATTTTTTCCTCATAAATATAAAAAAAATACTCTTAATTTGACAGTAAGTAAAGTATTCTTAAATATTAATGTACGTACTCTCTAAATCTAAATTATTAAAAATGTTTACTAATTTGAATTAGTGCGACTCACTTTTTGCTTTTAACTTAATAAAATTATTTTAATTGTTAGTAAAAGTTACTAATAATTAGTAAAATTTTACTAAGTCAGAAACAAAAAGTAAGTGACTAATTCAAATAAGTAAACATTTTTACTAATTCAGATTTAGAGAGTAAAGATTTTGAAAAAAATTTTTCTCAATATAAAAGGAAAAAGATCTATTGCTTTTTTCAGTCTTCGAAGCGTTATGACAGACTAAGAAAAATATGAAAAAGAATCATTTTTAAAAAAAAAGTATCCACAAAATTAAAAAAAAAGTATCAAAAATGTGGCATCTTTAAAATGAAGTAAAATTAGTTTATCGGATTTCTTAAATTCTAGAACTTGAAATCGGAAACTTATATAAAATATTTAGTATTTTAAAACAACAATTTTAATTAAAAATCTCCAAAAATTCAATTATTTCTAAAAATCTTAACTCGAACTCTTCCAAAATTCAATTATTTTTAAAATTTGTATAAAATTCTTTGCTAAATTAATAATTTCCATCCAATTATTCAAAAATTCAATTAAATAAAACATTTTTTAATTGAATAAAAATCTCTAAAATTTAATTACACTTTGAAACTGTTAATAATTTTCAGCAATTCTAATTTACAAAAATTTTAATTCAAAATCTCATGAAATTCAATTATTATTAAAAATTTTTATTCAATTCTTTAGAAAAAAAAATGAGTATAATGGAATTTAGTCCTAAAGTTATTCTATGGCTTTAAAGATATTTAACCAATAGAAATCAATGTGTTCGTGTTGATGGAATTTACTCGAGGATGATCACTGCTACATCTGGTGTTACTTAAGGATCGACCTTAGGTCCTCTTTTATTTCTTTTATATATTAATTATATCAATCATACTTTTAAATTTTGTCAATTTCTTCTCTTTGCAGATGACTCGAAACTTTATAAAATTATTAATTTTACACAAGGATTATTCTGCTTTTCAAACTGATATAGATTGTCTTCAAAATTGGTGTTCAAAAAACAAATTTTTTCTAAATATAAATAAGTGTTCAGTAATCAGATTTTCAAAAAAAAAAAATTATAACACATCATAATTATGCTATTGACAATTTTGTATTAAATCGTGTAACAAAAATTCGAGATTTGGGTGTCAAACTAAGTTTTGATTTAACTTTTACGGAGCACATATCTTTTACAGTAAATAAGGCCCTTCGATACTTGGGTTATATTATGAGAAATGCGTCAGAATTCAAGAGTTTAATATCTCTTAAGGTACTTTACTTCTCTTATGTTTTATCCATTCTCGAATTTGCATCTGTTGTTTGGTTTCCCTATTATTTCACAGTTTTCCTAAAAGTATCAAATTGAGACCAAAATTGCATCAAATCTTTGCAACGTTTTAATGCACATAAGTTATATCAAAAAGAGATCGTTTTGTGTATCATTTTTAGAAATGATACACGAAACGGTCTCACTTTTTGATGTAAAAAATTTAATCAATTTATATCAATCATGGCCGAATTGAATCGACTCAAAATTAAACGAATTTTTTTCAGATATTTTGGTAATAGTACAATTGCGGAGACCATTTCACAATTTAATTTGAATATGAAAATAACAGAAAATCAAAGACAATGTGCAATTCGATAATTAAAAAGTGACAGCTTATAAACATAACCTAAAATGCATGAGAAAAAATTTGTCGATAAAATCAATATAGCCGAGCTTTTTAGAAGGTAGATGGCAGCACTCATCTATTTTCTTTCTTTAAATTTTTTCTGAATCGTTTTTATAAAAAGCAAAACTGCCATCTACCTTCTAAAAAGCTCGGCTATATTGATTTTATCGACAAATTTTTTCTCATGCATTTTAGGTTATGTTTATAAGCTGTCACTTTTTATTTATCGAATTGCACATTGTCTTTGATTTTCTGTTATTTTCATTTTCAAATTAAATAGTGAAATGGTCTCCGCAATTGTACTATTACCAAAATATCTGAAAAAAATTCGTTTAATTTTGAGTCGATTCAATTCGGCCATGATTGATATAAATTGATTAAATTTTTTGCATCAAAAAATGAGACCGTTTCGTGTATCATTTCTAAAAATGATACACAAAACGATCTCTTTTTGATATAACTTATGTGCATCAAAACGTTGCAATAGAAAAAGAGACAACCAAGTTTACTGTGTTCATTCACATCATTAGGCTTGAAAGAGTTCAAAATCGTTTTTTACATTTCGCGGCTAGACTGCTCAGTATCAGCTTTGATTTTTTCTCACATAACTACGATGACCTGCGATCTAACTTAGGACTTCCTAAGGTTGAATCTAGATTTAGGTATAATGATTTGCTTTTTTTATTTAAAATTCTCAATGGTTTCATCAACTGTCCTGCGATACTTTCATTAATAAAATTTCGTGTTCCTTCAAGACCATCTAGGAATTATTCTATATTTCATGTCAATTTCCATCGTACTAATTATGGAAGAAATTCTATTATCAGTCGACTGTGTAGAGAGGGAAATCAATATAATGATTCCTTGAATTTCTTTGATACTAATTTAAATAGGTTTATTGCTACTTTGCGCACAACTATTTTTATGATGTAATACTGCGTCTCTTATTTCTTTAAACTTTGTAAAGGGTTTATCACACCTTAAAAAAAGTAATCTTCATTCTAGAGGATTCCTCTAAATGTAATGCATATTTTCCTCTTAATTTTGGTATCAAAAGTAATAATCTTAATTTAGAAGGATTTTCCTCTCGAAAAAATCCTCTTAAAGAAAGAATAATATTCTAATATTTTGTCAAGTTGAAAATAACCGTAATACACAGGTTTTGAATAAATTATTCGACAATAATGGTTATGTATTGATAATAAAGTACAGTTTTGACACATTGAATTAAATGTTGATATCAAAACCTCAACAAAAAAAATTCCTAGTGTTATTAATATCAAGAGAACCAATAATTTTTTTTAATTTAAATAATATAATAAATATTTAATAAGATTTAATTATTTACATTCAAAAAAGGTAAATTATAATAGATTCCTGGAATAAAGAATGAAATATTGGTTTTTAATTAAACATTTCTGAAAAAAATTTCTTGCTTTTTGCTGAGCATCAATACATTAGATTTAATTACAATAATAATAAAAAATGCTATTATAGCCAGTTGCAAATATCAAAGAGGTTCGACGCAAATATTTAAGAAAATTAGTAAGAAATGAAGATTCATCGAGAGTTTATATTTTCTGTATTTATACCTCCATTCAATATATCCTCTCTTGGAGTCACTTTTCCATTTTGGTCTTTCGATTTATAACACAACACTATTATGACAAAATACGAAAATTGACAGTTTCGAAAAACAAAAGAGTAAATGTCAAACAGGAAAAAAATGTAATCGATATCATGTATTTACTTTTCCTTTTTTCAAATATACTAAATTTAAACAGGAAAATCGTAATTGAAGAGGAAAATGCAAAAGTACTCCTTTTGTCATTGTTCCATTACAACAAAGAATAAAAATATTCTTCAGTGAAATGGAATATTCGTATTTTAAGAGAAAATATTCAAAGGATTTTAGAAGAGGAATTTTCCTCTAAATTTAAGATTACTTTTTTTTGGGTGCACCCGTTTGTAAATTTAAATAAATAAATAAATATTCAAATTTTTTTTTAAAATAATTATTTCTAATAACTTTAATCAAGATCTTGGGATTTCAATTATATAAACACTGAGAAAACAATCTATTTAAGTTTAAAAGAATCCTTTTATCATAAGCGGATTTTCCTTTCAATATTTATTTGAAAGGATTTCCTTTTAGGACAAAAGGAAAGTCTTTTAAAGTGTATCCTTTAATTATTAAATGAATTTAGTTTACTATTTAAAGGAAATATTTTTAAAGAAATAAAAATAAATAGTTTATTAATTTTTTATTTATTAGTATTGTTAATAATTAAAGAATTACTGTCATTTATTAATTTTAAATAAAATGAAATGAAATTATTTATATTTATTATTATTAATAAGTTAATAGTTTTTTACATAAAACTCGGAAAATTTTCATAATTTCTATTATTTTATATTAATTTTTTTATACCTTCTTTTCATAG